GACACACACAGTGACACACACACACAGTGACACACACAGTGACACACACACAGTGACACACACAGGGACACACACACAGTGACACACACACACAGTGACACACACAGTGACACACACACACAGTGACACACACAGTGACACCCACAGTGACACCCACAGTGACACCCACAGCGACACCTACAGCGACACCCACAGCGACACCCACCCACAGTGACACCCACCCACAGTGACACTCACAGTGACACCCACAGCGACACCCACCCACAGTGACACCCAATCACAGTGACACCCACAGTGATACCCACAGTAACATCCACTCACAGTGACACCCACAGTGACACCCACAGCGACACCCACCCACAGTGACATCCACCCACAGTGACACCCACAGCGACACCCACAGTGACACTCACAGTGACACACACAGCGACACCCACAGTGACACCCACCCACAGTGACACCCACCCACAGTGACACTCACAGTTACAACAACAACCGCCATTCGCCACTAAGTGGCGGTGACGTCACCACGACGCTTGTGCCAGGCCATGTGCACCTTGAGGCCACGTGAAGTGTCGAACGCCCGCTGGCAGGAGGTCACGGGGCAGACCCAGGTGCCACGGGTCGACTGACCGAGATGACCGAGATGACTGGCTGATGCACCACCTGTGCCCCCTACTGTACCAACTTGCTGTGCTTTAGCCACCCGGCGCTCCGCTCGTTGTTGTGAGCGTCGCTCCTCCGCCCTCCGTTGATGTTGGAGGGCGACTGCCTCCAACTGCCCAGTAGCGTCCTTCACGAGCCTCCTCCACTGAGGCCGATCTTGACACCGCTGGTACCAGTCATTGGCAAGTCCACTCAGCTCCACGTCCTCCTATACCACATCACTCCATCTCTTCTCTAGCCCGTGCCACGCCCGTTTAGCCCCCTCGATCCGGCCGAACAAAAGCTGTTTAGGCATGCGGTGGCTGGGCATGCGGGCTACATGACCCAGCCAACGCAGCCTTGCCTGCCGGAGGAGCTCACTGATGGGACTTTGCCCAGATCTTTCAAGGACTTGTGAGCTCCTCACACAATCCAGCCTGGTTAAACCCAGGATCGATCGTAGGCATGCCAGCCTAAATGTTTCCAACCGGCGAAGATGCTTCGCAAGCGTAGAGAAGGGAGGGAATGACCGTGGCCGAGAAGACCTGAAGCTTCGTGCGGAGCGACAGACCAGGTAGCTTCCACACAGCGTTACGCAACCGATGAAAAGATATTGCCGCTCGACTGATTCGGAGTGAGACCTCTGCTGATAAACTGGAGCCGGTCATAATCACACTGCCCAGGTATGGGAAACTCTCCACTCTCTTCACAACTGCCCCATCACCAATTGGGAGTTGTGGGGGTGGAGTGTCTGATGGTACAAAATACCCAGGCAGGTGCTTAGTTTTGGTGGGGCTGATGGTAAGGCCCCACCTCTTAGTGGCACGCTCCAGTCTCAGCAGCAGCGTCTCCAACTCCTCTTCTGAATGAGCAGCTATTACCAAATCATCGGCATACATAACGTGGTTGACCAATAGGGAGCCATCCCTTGATCGCACCCGGGCGTCGATCAGCCTCCCATTATATCTGTACCAAATGGAAATTCCCCCGGTACAGCTATTGAAGGCTTCACGAACTACGCAGTCGAAATAGATGTTAAATAATGTGGGAGCCAGAGGACATCCCTGTCGCACCCCAATGTGTACAGGGAAAGGCTCCGACTCCCAGCCACGTAGTTTTACCCGGGCCCGCTCACCATCATGAAGGTCCTTAATGATCGTGAGCAGAGGGTCAGGGACTCCGAAAGCACGAAGAACAACCCAGAGCCCAGTCCTACTGATGGTATCATAGGCCTTGACCAGGTCAATAAAGCAGAGATGTAGGTCTTTTTGGAATTCCCTACACCTCTGCTGTAGCAGACGGACAGAAAATATGGCATCTGTGCAGGACCGCCCTTTCCTGAAACCGCATTGGGGCTCCGCAAGCCTCTCCTCAGCGTGCCTCGCAAGGCGATGTTGAATAATCCTTGCCAGGACCTTACCCGGCACACTGAGGAGTGAGATGCCCCTGTAGTTGTTACAGTCGGTACGGTCCCCCTTCTTAAAGAGGGGGACCACCAGGGCATCCTTCCAGTCCTGCTGAACCCGTCCAGTGGTCCAGACTGTTGTTATGATGTCATATAGGACAGTCTGTGCACAAACGCCACCCTCCCTCAGCATTTCACTTGGGAGATCATCTCTGCCCGGTGCCTTCCCTGGTCTCAGACTCCGGATCGCCCTCAGTACTTCCTCAACAGCTGGCGCCTCAGCCAGCCACTCACAGGGGGTGACCTCTTCCAATATTTGAGGCACCGCTGCCTCAGCAGGGTTATCCCCACTTTGTGCCATGATGTTTTCCTGGCTGAGAGATTTTATCCCCCAGGACCTCACAGAAATGCTCAGCAAATCTGCAAACCTGTTCCTGGGGGTCGGAGATTGGATCACCGTTTTTTCCTCTAATGATGGTAATAGGTGTGGCGCTGCAGGTTACTTTTTTGATGGAGTTAAATAGTGATTTGTGATCGCGGGCCACTGAGGCAGACTCCATCTCCTCAGCAACCCGCGACCACCACCCATCCTTACAGCGCCTTATGGCTCTCCGAACCTCCGAGCGAAGGCTGCGGTAAACCTCCTCATTCTCTGACGTGGGATGCTGTAGGCGATGAGAGTGGGCCTGTCGCTATTTCTCAATTAACCTGAACACCTCCTCTGTCAGCCAGGGTTTCTGGGGAGGTCTGGACCGCGTACCCAAAGCAGCCATTGCAGCTGCATGAGTCACAGTCTTAAACCTCGCCCATTTACCCTCGACATCAGGTGGAGTGGGGGACGATCCCAACCCCAGCTGCGAGCGATGATGAAATTCTCGCTTGCAACTTTCATCAGCTAACTGAGACCAGGCCACTTTAGGTTGTAATGGGGTCCTGGGTGTACACCCACCACCGGAGTGGAAGAATGGCAGGCGCATCTTACAGATGACTAGTCGATGGTCAGAGGGCAGATCAGCTCCACGGTAGGTTCTGGTGTCAAGGACATGGGCTCGCATCCGCTGGTCCGTCACTATGTAGTCCAGCAGATGTTCTTGCTTGGACCCGGCATGCATCCATGATGTTGTGTGGATGCGCCGATGCCGGAAGAGCGTGTTGGTAATTACAAGCCCATGGGCTGCACAAAAATCTAGCAGCCTCCTACCGTTATTATTGAGCTGATCTGGCCCATGCCTTCCAATCACTCCAGACCAGGTGCCAGCATCATGACCAACTCGGGCATTGAAGTCACCCAACAAGATGACTCTGTCCCGAGTGGCCACTTTAGCCAGCACCTGTGACAGGAGGTCATAGAAAGCGTCTGACTGATCGGCTTTGCCTGCATCCCTCCACGGATGTTCGTCTTCGGTGGGGGCATAAGTAACCACGACCACCACTCCTCGCCTCTGGTTGATGGGAAGGCGAGCCCAAAGTATCCTGGGGCTTACAGCTTCCCACACCTCACCGCCACGCTCCCACGCCCCCTTCATTCTTTTGTTCAGAAGAAGAGCCACACCCTGTTGTTTGGCAGTCTCCTGCCCCGAGTAGAGGACTGTCTACCCCTCATGGTGGCAGGAGCCAGAACCGGTCCACCGGACCTCCTGAATGCCACAGAGATCCAGGCGGTACCGGTCCAGCTCCCGACAGAGGAGTAGCAGCCTCTCCTCCGCAGTGAGCGTTCGAACATTCCACGTGGCCATCCGCAATGGTTTTTCGTTGTTTTTGGAGGAGCCCCGAGGGTGAAAATTCAATCTCCTGGCTCCGCCAAATGATGTTTGGCCAGGAGACGTCATAAAAGCCTGACCCCCCGGGGCCTCCGGCACAAGCTTATTAGTTACAGGTTTATGTTTAATTCGTGGTTTTGTGGTAATTAATTGAAGGTGGAGGGGTTACCAGCCCCTCGCACCCGTCCAGAGCCCCCGTTTAGCCACTGTGGTGGTCACAGACGCCTTGAGGGGAGAGGCCAATGGGCATTGGCCCTCCCCCCACAGCACTGCCCACGACAGTGTTGCCCGTCCGGCACCGCGAGGAGGTAGGAGGTTGTTTTACCAACAGTTACACACACAGTGACACACACAGTGACACAGTGACACACACAGACACCAACAGCGACACCCACAGTGACACACACAGTGACACCCACCCACAGTGACACAGTGACACCCACAATGATACACACAGCGACACCCACCCACAGTGACACCCACAACGACACCCATTGTGACACACAGCGACACCCACAGTGACACACACAGCGACACCCACAGTGACACACACAGTGACACACACCCACAGTGACACCCACAGCGACATCCACAGTGACACCCACAGCGACACCCACCCACAGTGACATCCACCCACAGTGACACACACAGTGACACACACAGTGACACAGTGACACACAGAGACACCCACAGCGATACCCACAGTGACACACACAGTGACACCCACCCACAGTGACACCCACAATGACACACACAGCGACACCCACAGTGACACATACAGCGACACACACCCACAGTGACACACACAGCGACACACACCCACAGTGACACCCACAGCGACACCCACAGTGACACACACAGCGACACACACCCACAGTGACACACACAGCGACACACACCCACAGTGACACCCACAGCGACACCCACAGTGACACCCACAGCGACACCCACAGTGACACACACAGCGACACACACCCACAGTGACACACACAGCGACACACACCCACAGTGACACCCACAGCGACACCCACAGTGACACCCACAGCGACAACCACAGTGACACACACAGCGACACACACCCACAGTGACACCCACAGCGACACACACAGTGACACCCACAGCGACACACACCCACGTGGGACGGTGCCGCCTCTACTGACCTCGTGGCGCAGTAACCCGCCCCACACAACTCCGCCTGCCGCTCCATCCGTCGGCTGCGGCCGCTCCGTCACCGCTCTAATTTTTTGTTTTTTGTTGGGTTCTTCTCCTGCGGGCTACTGATGCTCGTGACCTGGAGCGACCGACTTGGCTTCGCGCTCCTCTCGTGCACCTTGCACCGGAGCGCCCTCCCGCCCGAGCTGAGTGTATAGGCGAGACGCACTTCTCGGCCCCGCGCGCAGCGACGAGAGAATTCGCAGTCGGCGGTGTCGCTTGGACACCGCGACATCGCAGAGCTAGCGGGACGCGCCTCGTGTCGAGTGTCCCGAGACTTTTAACCGTTCCGCTGAGAGGGGTGTTCCTGTGTGTGTTTTAAAGAGACGCAACACTCGACCCGCCTGAGAGTTGACTTCGTGGCGGGTCCCTCGGTTCCGCTGACCCATCGGTGCCACACGTGTTGCGGGCGATCGTCGTTTTTTTATTATTTACTGAAACACACCTCGGACGGGTCCTGCTCCGTCCGCGTGAGGAGCGACAAACCGCGGCAGCACGGCGAGGTTCCAGATGATCGCACTGCTGGCTATGGGCAGCAGCAACCTCCAGAGCTTATTTCACCGCCTGCGCCATCGCAGCGTGGAGTACGCGGTCAGCATGAAGCAATCCGAAGAGAACTGGTGAGTGACGCAGCGCGTACGGCTCGGAGCAGCAACGTACAGCACGCGCAGCACACGCAGCACACACACAGCACACACACAGCACACACACAGCACACACAGCAGCACACACCAGCACACACACAGCACACACACAGCACACACACAGCACACACACAGCACACACAGCACACACACAGCACACACACAGCACACACAGCAGCACACACGCAGGACGCGCCAAGTGCATCACGCACGGCACGTTCCGCACTTGCAGCAAACGCAACGCGTCGCGCACGTCCAATACGCAGCATGCGCGGCACGAAGAGCGAGTGCAGCACATGCAGCGCGTGCAAGACACAGCGCGCATATCACGTGCAGTGCACACAGCACGTGCAGTGCACACATCACACACGCAGCACGTGCAGTACACATATCACACGCAGCACACAGATCACACGCAGCACGCGCAGCACCCAAGCACAGTCACAACGAATCGACGTCGATGTATCTGGAGCTCAATGTGACCACGGGCGGAGTCTGAAGACGACGTCGTCGACGACGTCGCTGTCTGAGGCCGCCCTCGTCACAGGAGTCGCCGTGAGCCGTGTGAGAGGTGACGACGGCTTCGGGGCACCGTGGCTGATGGTGGTGATGATGATGATCTCTTTGTGTTCAATCTCTAGCCAGGTCTCCACTTCTGTCTCGGTGTCTCTCTCTCTGTGTCGCTACCTCTCCCCCACCTCTCTCCGTGTCTCTGTATCTCTCCAAGTCTCTCTGTGTCTCTGATTTTACATTCACAGGTTACATTTCCCACACTAACACAGCCACCTCGCTCGCCGAGCTCGACGTTGCTGCTCTGTGATCTCCCATTAACACGCTCATCTCTCACACTAACACGCTAATCTCTCACATTAACACGCTCATCTTTCACATTAACACACTCATATCTCACATTAACACGCTAATCTCTCACATTAACACGCTAATCTCTCACATTAACACGCTCATCTCTCACACTAACACGCTAATCTCTCACATTAACACGCTCATCTCTCACATTAACACGCTCATCTCTCACATTAACACGCTCATCTCTCACACTAACACGCTAATCTCTCACATTAACACGCTCATCTCTCACATTAACACGCTCATCTCTCACACTAACACGCTAATCTCTCACATTAACACGCTCATCTCTCACATTAACACGCTCATCTCTCACATTAACACGCTCATCTCTCACATTAACACGCTAACCTCTCACATTAACACGCTAATCTCTCACATTAACACGCTAATCTCTCCCATTAACACGCTAATCTCTCACATTAACATGCCAATCTCTCACATTAACACGCTAATCTCTCACATTAACACGCTAATCTCGCACATTAACACGCTCATCTCTCACATTAACACGCTAATCTCTCACATTAACACGCTAATCTCTCACATTAACATGCTAATCTCTCACATTAACATGCTAATCTCTCACATTAACACGCTCATCTCTCACATTAACACGCTCATCTCTCACATTAACATGCTAATCTCTCACATTAACACGCTCATCTCTCACATTAACACGCTCATCTCTCACATTAACATGCTAATCTCTCACATTAACACGCTCATCTCTCACATTAACACGCTCATCTCTCACATTAACACGCTCATCTCTCACATTAACACGCTAATCTCTCACATTAACTTGCTAATCTCTCACATTAACACGCTAATATCTCACATTAACACGCTAATCTCTCACATTAACACGCTAATCTCTCACATTAACTTGCTAATCTCTCACAGTTAACACGCTAATCTCTCACATTAACACGCTAATCTCTCACATTAACATGCTAATCTCTCACATTAACATGCTAATCTCTCACATTAACATGCAAATGTTTCACATTAACATCACTAGCCCCGCCCACTTCGTTGATGACCCTTGGGCTACACCCATTTTAAACCTTTAAAACAGTCTACCTCAGCTACTTTCCCCCTCTTTTTTGCCTCCTGATGACGATCGTTTGTGTTGTGATCAAAACGTCGTTTTCATTTTCATCTTCTCTTACTCTATCTACGTGACTTTACCGAAAGACCCAAAGAATAAGTCTAAACATGTTTCGTGGTGAGCATCTTGAAGATAAACCCCATATAGCCATGAGTGTGTGTGTGTGAACACGGCGGCAGCAGCAGAAGCGCATTGCCCCGGGATGATGTTGGCTAAACAGCCGCTGAAGCTATGCATATTTAAATCTAATACTCTTATCTTTAGAACTGATTTTTTTTGTGGTGTTTCGTCCTTCCCCCACACATCCGATTACCAACGGTTGGCTATGCCCGATGGTGTGAAAGAAGTTCAACGTACGTACCCACATCGTCGCTTCGCGTACCTATGTACGCGAAACGTCACAACGCCGTGTTATGCCGTGAGCCGCGGAGTCGTGCGGCAAATCCAGCCTCTGTTTAATCACAAACACTCGAGCACACGCACTCTTCGACTTGACACCAATACAAATGTGTGCCGCGACACGAAGATCCTGCCACTGGACACCCCACGCGGGTCTAGGCATAACTTGCTGACCCCATGCCCCTACTGGACATCTGTGGAAAAAAAGAGCTTCACGGCTCATCGGATTCCTCCTTCCCGCGGTCTAAATAAAACATTCTGATTCTGAGACTCGGCTGCGGGATCTTGCATCGCTGTGGAAACGCCTGCCGCGAAGGAGAACCACAAAAGTACCGCTGTGCCACGCCTGCACTTCCATGGTAAACTGGACTCCCATGGTAAACTGGATTTCCATGGGGAACTGCACTTCCATGGTGAAGTGGACTTCCGTGATAAACTGGACTCCCGTGGTGAACTGGATTTCCATGGTCAGAGGTCACGGCAACCAAAATGACAAGAAGAGACATTTTTGGGGGAATTTAAAGAGCTGCCACTGCAGTCCTTAGAGAGCCACCGCATACGTCTCCGGAGCTGCAGGTCTCCGCCCCCGAGGTGTAGACGCACTAGGGTCTGCAGCGTGCTGCGCGTGGCAGCAGCAGAAGTAGCTGCTGCTGCAGCAGGAGCAGCAGATGCAGCAGGAGCAGAAGCAGCAGCTGTAGCAGTAGGAGCGGCAGTCGTCACATGGAAGGGAACCGTGGCAAGCGACTAAGCCATGAACGCGGTGACTTATTTTCGTATACAGCCATAAACACCTCGATATGTGTACAGTATATTCGATATGTGTACAATATATATAAGTTTCGGTAGAACGAATTTTTTATTTTTAAACCGTTATCTTACATAGAAAGCCAAAGATAAATGTAATAATAAATAATACTTACATGAATAATAAAGAAATTCGTCAATCTACAGTACATACTATACAAATAAGAATACAATTGTTTATTTTTTTTAATCAGTTTTGTTTATTTTAATACTGTACAGCAGGGGTCGGGAACCTTTTTGACTGGGAGAGCCATAAAAGCCAAATATTTCTAAATATATTTCATTGAGAGCCATATAGTATTTTTAACGTATAATAAATTAAATATGTCTTACTTTTAATGCGACTTCTGGTGCTGCATGGTTTTGCTGATGGCCTTGTAGTCTGGTTCATACGTGGTGAGGTTGAGCTTCATGCAGGCGTGACCCGTGAAATTTATCTTCAAAACTAATTTCTGTTTACTTTAAAATGACACAGTATTATTAAACAATATCACAAGTATTTTAAAATCAGTTCCAAACTGATTTTTTTTATTATTATTTTTTCCAACTCAAAATTGTCTAGGAGCCATATGCCGTCACCGGAAGAGCCATATATGGCTCGCGAGCCATAGGTTCCCGACCGCTGCCGTACAGTATAACATATATTATTCTAAGTATAAATTAGCTTTATTGAAATATATGAATAGTAACTTGTGAAGTATTTTTAGTATAAAATGGAATTACGAAGGCTGAGAACGCTCCCGCATAGTCCTATGTGATAAGTTGTTCAATATACGACGTTTCGATATACGAACGAGGCTCCAGGAACGCATCTACCTCGTAAATCGAGGTATTCCTGGTTGCTGTATTTTGATCAGCCATGGTCAATCCACTGCTGAATGAAGCCCCCCCCCCCCCCCCCAAGCTACCGCCCCCACTCTCTCAATCGTGTGATTCCATAAAATCCACCCAGCAGCCTGCACACGATCTGAGTTCACCGCTCCGTCTCCCTCGGGTGGACATCCTCCCAGACGCGTCACATCCCTTGGCTTTCCACTTCGCTATTCGTCTTTTTGGGATCGATCGGCCACCGTTCCGTCGAGCCTGTCCAAGATGCTTTACAAATATATTAGAATCAGAATATTGATTCATGCCAGAGAAGGAATCCGGTGAGCTATAAAGCTTTTTGCACAGATGTCCAGTCTGGGCGGGTAAGAACGTTACAATAACAAACAGCACACAGACACACGACGGGAGTGCAAAGTACAAGAAAGGTAAACAGACCACCCAAACACACACAAATACAACTAAACCATCTCCATCCTACCAGACAAAACCCACTGAGGTAGAGATATTGGACGCCTTTAACCTGCGTGTGGTCTCTAATCCACGTGTTCCTCTCTGTGTTTCTCAATGCAACTCCAAGCATGCATCCCATGGGTTTACACCACTGCAAAAAAAAATTCCCCAGCCTCACGCAAGAACTCGTTCCGCGTGGTTGTTTTGCTCGCAACACGGGGCAACAATCCCCCTTGTCAGACAACAAAGAGCCCCCATCGTAAACACACACAATGAACCCTGGGTGTAGTGTGAGCCAGTCCCACATACTGTGAGAATGATATAATCGCATCTATATTTAGACAGGGTGCCTTCGTTCAAGGCGCTTGCCATGGCTTGCGGAACGGTGACAGGGATGGAACACTGTAGATGGCAGAGGCATGCTGCACGGAGTGAGCGACAGAGGGGCGCTTAGGGATCACAAAAGGGTGATAGGGGAGGGACGGGAAGAAGTAGAGGGGCGAGGGGAGGGAAGACGAAGGGCAATAGAGAAGAGGTGATGCTTAAATAAAGAAACGGAAGGATTCTAAGGGGGGGGGGAACTGCTTAACGTACAGGGGCAGTGTTGATTCTATGGGCATTGTCGAGTCTATGTGCAGTGTTGAGTCTATGGACAGTGTTGAGTCTATGTGAAGCGTTGAGTCTATGTGCAGTGTTGAGTCTATTGGCAGTGTTGATTCTATGGGCATTGTCGAGTCTATGGGCAGTGTTGAGTCTCTGTGCAGCGTTGAGTCTATGGGCCTGCGCTGAATTTGTGGGCAGCGTTGAGTCTATGGGCAGCATTGAGTCTTTGAGTCTATGGACAGCGTTGAGTCTATGTGCAGTGTTGAATTTATGGTGCAGTGTTGAGTGTATGGGCAGCGCTGAGTCTGTGGGCAGCGTTGAGTCTCTGGACAGCGTTGAGTCTATGTGCAGTGTTGAGTCTATGGGCAGTGTTGAGTATATGGGGAGTGTTGTGTCTATGTGCAGTGTTGAGTCTATAGGCAGCGTTGAGTCTATGTGCAGTGTTGAGTCTATGGACAGTGTTGAGTCTATGTGAAGCGTTGAGTCTATGTGCAGTGTTGAGTCTATTGGCAGTGTTGAGTCTATGTGCAGTGTTGAGTCTATGAGCAGTGTTGAGTCTATGGGCCGCGTTGAGTCTATGGGCAGCGTTGAGTCTATGGGCAGCGTTGAGTCTATGGGCAGTGTTGAGTCTATGGGCAGTGTAGAGTCTATGGGCAGTGTTGAGTCTCTGGGCAGTGTTGTGTCTATGGTGCAGTGTTGAGTTTATGGTGCAGTGTTGAGTATTTGTGCAGTGTTGAGTCTATGGGCAGTGTTGAGTCTATGGTGCAGTGTTGAGTCTATGGGGAGTGTTGTGTCTATGTGCAGTGTTGAGTCTATGTGCAGTGTTGAGTCTATGGGCAGTGTTGAGTGTATGGGCAGTGTTGAGTTTATGGGAAGTGTTGAGTCTATGGTGCAGTGTTGAGTCTATGGTGCAGTGTTGTGTCTATGGGCAGTGTCGAGTCTATGGGCAGTGTTGAGTATATGTGCAATGTTGAGTCTATGTGCAGTGTTGAGTCTATGGCCAGTATTGAGTCTATGGGGAATGTTGAGTCTATGGTGCAGTGTTGAGTCTATGGTGCAGTGTTGAATCAATGGGCAGTGCTGCTAAATGTACAGGGGCAATTGACTCCAGTGGAGGGGTGCAAGGAGGGAGAAGGACCCAGCACGGGATTGGGTACAGGGAGAGGGAGTGACGTCATGCGAGAGCACTTGCAACCTTGGTGGGCTGAGCTCACAACCGGAGAGAAGAAAAAAGAATGTAACATCTTCTAAAGCCAACCGCACAGAATGTTCCAGCCATTTCCTTTAGAGCTCGTCAAGTCGGTGTTTCTGACCGGAACTCAGGCCAGATCAGCCAAGTTTTCGTCAAACTCCAAGAGCATGGCAAGGTCGGCATTGCTGATTGCAACGCAATAGCAGCAGTGGTAAGTTGCTGTCGCTGTGCAAGAAGACTGCATGCTGTTGCACACATTTCTGTGTGCACCTCCGATTAGCACGGTTGGATATGTACGGTGCGAAACAAGGTCAACATATATACATACGTGTGCGGGCCTATGTGTGGGCAGCGGTAGTGTGGTGGTTAGGGCATTGAGGTAATATAGATTCATTTTTATTATTTTGGTGCTACAAATGTTCAAATAATGGACCACTTTGTTGAGGCATCATTTGTGGCCAGGTCACTTATGTAAAAAATAAATTAATACCTCAATGGGCTTTGACTGGTAGGATGGGGGATGTTCTAGTTTTATTTTTTGTGTTTGGGTGATTTGTTTAACTTTCTTGTAAGTTGCACGATACTCTCGTGTTTTTGTACTGTTTGTTGCTGTAATATCCTTACCCACCCCAACTGGACATCTGTGAAAAAATCTGTATAGTGCACTAGCGGAATGACTTTTATAGGTTAGATAGGATTCCTTCAGGAAAATAAATGTTCTGATTCTGAACCCGACAACCAGAGTTCGATTTCCGCTCATTAGCGGCAATCATGTTAACGGGTCCTAGGCCTCCCTCTTGGTCGACTCAGCCTCAAATGAGTACCTTGTGCGGTGCGTAAACATCACTACTTTGGCGACAAATGCGGCTGGGCGTGGTTCTGGCCACACTACACCCCTCGTGTGACGTCTTGGCCTGCATCGTCGCTTGCGAAGAGCACTTGCCTCAACAGTATGGTGAGGCTATACGGGGGATCTTTGTTGTTGGTGCAGAGGTAATTGTGGGATAACTGCATTTGTGCACGAGGGGAATCGAGTGCAATGAGAGGGGAGAGGTAGACAGAACCAGATTCTTTATTTTTACTGGAGGAATCCAATTAGCTACAAAGCTCTTTTGCACAAATGTCCAGAAGGGGTGGGTCAGAAAGTTACAACAATACAAAAACACGATAGGCGTGCGAAGTATAAGTAAACAAATCACTAAACATGTTTAACTATTTTTATTTGACCAGGTAAAGCCCACTGAGCTATTCGCTTCTTTTCAGAAGGGACCTGGCCACAAATGATAGCTCAACGAAGTGGCTCATCATCATCACGTAGTCATCATCATCACGTGACAATGTATAGCAGCGAGTCCATGGCGGATCTCAGAGAGGGTGATGTTGGCTCGTAAGGCTACAGGGGCTCTCGGTCTGTCTCCTCGTGGGTGCGTGCAGCGCCAAGGAGAACCCTTTGTTCAAGGCCGTTAAGCAGAACGACATGGAGATGCTGGAGGTGCTGCTCGCTGCCAAAGATGTTGATCCACTCATCACAGGTGACAGCAACCCACCCATCAACAAAGAGCGCATTTCTCACCCTCCCGAGGCGGCTTTCGTGGTGCAGTGTGGTGAGCAGTGTGGTGAGCTGTGTGGTGAGCAGTGTGGTGAGCTGTGTGGTGAGCTGTGTGGGTGAGCTGTGTGGGTGAGCATTGTGGTGAGCAGTGTGGTGAGCTGTGTGGGTGAGCAGTGTGGTGAGCAGTGTGGGTGAGCTGTGTGGTAAGCAGTGTGGTGAGCAGTGTTGTGAGCTGTGTGGTGAGCTGTGTGGTGAGTAGTGTGGTGAGCTGTGTGGTGAGCAGTGTGGTGAGCTGTGTGGTCAGCAGTGTGGTGAGCAGTGTGGTGAGCAGTGTGGTGAGCTGTGTGGTGAGCAGTGTGGTGAGCAGTGTGGGTGAGCTGTGTGGTGAGCAGTGTTGTGAGCTGTGTGGTGAGCAGTGTGGTGAACTGTGTGGTGAGCAGTGTGGTGAGCAGTGTGGTGTGGGTGAGCTGTGTGGGTGAGCTGTGTGGTGAGTTGTGTGACTCTGTAGTGCTGTCTGATCGTGCTGCGTGTCACTCGGCACGATGTCCGACGTTTCTTGAAGTTCCCAGCAGCTTAGGCAGGCCTTCATCCAGCAGTGGATAAGTCATTGTTGACGTTTGCAGTCAACCAGGAGTGGCGCCATCGAGAGGTCGGGCTGTCGTCGGTGTGTAGGGGTTGGAGTGGATTCCAGCAGGGGCTGCGGGAGCTCAGACGCGCGTGAGTGGGGGGGGGGCCTTTGTAAGTGGGAGTGCTTCGTTGGTGTTCTTCTCGGAGAATGTTTTCACTGCGCGCGTCTGGAAGCTAGTGTAGGAAGCCACTTTGTTGCATACATGTCAACCCCTTATCGGTGCTTACCCTAATACAGACCAATTTGGACCTTAAATCTTGACTTAAAGCTTTCGTGACTACAGGAATTCATATTCTTTGGGTCTTTTCAGTAAAGCCACGTAGATAGAAAGAAAAAATAACAACAATATCATGACGTTTCGATCACAACACAAGCGGTCGTAATCAGGAAAATGGGGGGTTTGCTTATAAAGACAAACTGCTTATAAAGGTTTGAAATGGGCATAGCCCAAATGTCAGCAGCCAATGCCAATGCAAGTGGTGGGCAGCGACCACGGCGGTGGTGGGCTCTCCACCAATCAGAGGGCTGCCAGGCAAAAAATAGCATGTCAATGCAAGATCGCCGAGACTTCTACACGGCGAGTGCACCAAGGTGTCTATGTTAATGTGAGAGATTAGCATGTTAATGGAAGATCGTGAAGCAGCAGCCTCAAGGATGGCACGCGAGGTAGCTGTGTTAGTGAGAAATTTAATCTGTTAATGTAAAAAATCAGAGAGCCGAAAATAACAACTAACATCGGAAGGTGGTAGGCTGGGAACATCACATCCTATTATGACTTAAACTGGTTAATAACGTCCATCCAATCAATGATTGCTGAGTTTATACTCATCTTCTCAGTTGAATTTGTGTCTGTGTTTATATATCTGGATGGCTTCATGAACGAATCTTTGCTGATAGCGAGTGGGTTTGCAGAGTACCTTCGTCTTGGCAAAATCTATTTCGTGTGTGCCCACAGCTCTGCAGTGAGTGTCCTCTCAACGTCCCGGAGTTCTTTAACCTGGCAATCCAGGGCCATATCTTCAGCATCTACCAATAGCCAGTGGCTTTGTGGGAGGGAGGTCACTGGTGTACATGTTGCAGAGGGCCGTTGCGAGGACTAATCCCCGTGGGAGCCCATTTTTTATTGTGTCTAGGCGACTGATTTGTTCTCCATGGTACACACGGAAATGGCATTGGCTGGACATAGAGTTTATTAGCTGCATGGTTTTTGCGCAACGGATGATTTTGGAGAGTATCAGCAGCATGACCTTTTCGCCATACTGTGTCATTGGCACAGGAGAGGTCCACAAAGGCAGCTCTCGACGTCAGGCCTTCCTGGAATCCGGCCTCGATGTGATAGGTCAGTGTCATGAACCTGCCCAGAGCATTTGCGGCCTATGGGGAAACCTGCCTGCTGAGGGGGCATTGCTGCTTCTCGGGTAGGGCTCGGTCTATTTAGCAGGAGGCGTTCCATGACCTTCGGGGCACCGCGGTAACGAGATGTTAACTCCCTTGCCTTGTATACAGGAGATCATGGGTTTGATCCCAAACCTGATGCCTGCTGTATATTTGGAGTTTGCATTTTATCCCTGTGGTCGTGTGGCTTTTTCTACAGAAACACGTGCTAAAGAGTATGTCTGTTATAAATTTCCACGTGAAAATCCACTTCATTAAGCTGTCGTTTGTGGTCAGATCAATTCTGAAAAAAGAGCTGCATAGCACAGTGGGTGTTAACTGGTCGAATAAAAAAAAGTATAGTTTTAATTAGTTGACATGTTGTTGAGAGCAGAGCGATGGGGCGGTAGTGGCATGGGTTGTCAAGTGGTTTGCCTGGCTTGATGATGCCCCACTATCTTGGGTTGGCGCCAGAAGTTTGGAACGGGGCCTGTGCAGTGGATGTTAGTAAACAGCTTTGCTGACCACTTCTTCCTTCCCCGTGGTCACAATGTTACTCAAGAATTCTGGATAAATCCCATCGGCTCCTGTGGCTTTCCCTGACTTGGTTTGGATCAGGGCGCTGTCCACATCCTCTTCTGTAGAAGTGGACAGGCGTCATTCATCAAGGGAGTCGAGGAGGTTTGTAGCCACTTTGTGGGGGGGGGCTTCATTTTTTCTGTATTCTCTCAGGAGCCCGGTCACTTTCCGAAGTTCAGCAATGGAAGAAGATTTTTTTTTTCTGAAGCCCCGGGGTACAAACTTGGTGGCTGCCAGTTTCAGAAGTCGGGTCAAACGATTGTATTTTTCGGGGGGATGGGTGGGATCTGGCTAATGATGGATTTATGTATCTACTGTAGGCATCTCAGTTGCCATTCAGCAAGTTCCAGCGTGGTTTTGGCTTACAGTTTGTTTGATAGTAATTGGAAGCCAATGTGAATGAGACTTAGGCGGTGCTGGGAGTGGGGGAAGGTGGTCAGCACCTGTCGGGAGCACATCAACAGTTGGCCACTGCTGTTGCACGTACGTATGTTGAATTTCTTTCGCATCATACGTAGCCAACTGTGCTAACCAGAGGTGCGGGGAAAGGAAAACAAACAAAACAAAAAAGCAGCTTTGACGCAATTAGTGCCTTCCTAATGTTGGAAAGAAGAGCGTTCCACACGGCCGTAGAAGGGCATCTGAAAACATATGGTGTGGTGACCATCTTTGTTCAATGGCTAGCCAAAAGCCACTGCTGGCTGCTGCTGCGAGGATGACCGGAGAAAATGAAGACCCCAAAGAGGGTCGTGAAATAAAGATGAGGCGAGCAGTCTGGAATACAGTGAGGGAAAAAAGTATTTGATTCCCTGCTGATTTTGTACGTTTGCCCACTGACAAAGAAATGATCAGTCTATAATTTTAATGGTAGGTTTATTTGAACAGTGAGAGACAGAAAAAGAACCAAAAATCCAGAAAAACGCATGTCAAAAATGTTATAAATTGATTTGCATTTTAATGAGGGAAATAAGAATTTGACCCCTCTGCAAAACATGACTTAGTACTGGGTGGCAAAACCCTTGTTGGCAATCACAGAGGTCAGACGTTTCTTGTAGTTGGCCACCAGGTTTGCACACATCTCAGGAGGGATTTTGTCCCACTTCTCTTTGCAGATATTCTCCAAATCATTAAGGTTTCGAGGCTGACGTTTGGCAACTCGAACCTTCAGCTCCCTCCACAGATTTTCTATGGGATTAAGGTCTGGAGACTGGCTAGGCCACTCCAGGACCTTAATATGCTTCTTCTTGAGCCACCCCTTTGTTGTCTTGTCCGTGTGTTTTGGGTCATTGTCATGCTGGAATACCCATCCACGACCCATTTTCAATGCCCTGGCTTAGGGGGTGTAGATGGTTGGGTGCGCTGAAGGCTGCATTGAAATGTTGAGCCAGAGGTCATTTGGTGGCTTTTAGACATTTGTATTGACTTTTTGGTTCTTTCGGTAAAGTCGCGTAGAAATAAAAGAAAATATATATAATAGAATATGACGTTTCGATTGCAACACAAGCAACCGTCATCAGGTGCGAATGAATGCAAGCTACGTGTTAAACTGACATTTATAGAGTAAGGGTCGTATTCTTTTACGTCTTTCTGTGTCTTTGGCGAGGTTTTCCTTGATGTAGGTGGCTAGGCCGGTATGTCTTTGTTATTCCTTCTTGCATTGAGTTGGTACCAGTGGATGTGCACTCGACGGCTGGCGTGGTCCGCGAGGCGAGTTTCTTGCAGGGTGACTACGTCCACATCTCTGAGTAGCTCGCGTTTCGCCCCAGGACAGACATTCAACTATGAGTGTCGTCGCTCGTCCTATTTCTCGGCTTTGTTGTCCCTGATGTGTTCATTCCGTCGCCCAGTGGGTATTTACTGCTTTGACCAGGAGCCAGGAGGCGCCGGGGGTTCGATCGCCTTCTTAACAGCATCAGTTTGCCAGGTTTTCCAATTGGGAAAAAATTGCTTTAACAGGAGGATCACGTGAAGGTTGCCGTCTCCTTCCCGCCATAAGCGAGGACTTGCCGGGATTATCGAGACTCGGCGAGAATTTCCCGGGTAAACAAAGTGTCACAGCAACAACCCCGCCACCACCGCCGAGGCAGCAATAACGCACCACGTGTATCTGCGGCCGTGCGTCTCTTGTGTCCGCGCTGACGATGCCGCCGCAGGCCCTGACGGCGAGACGCTGCTGCACGTGGCGCTGCTGTTCCGCCACCGCACGCTTGCTCTGAGGCTGCTGGACGCCGTTCCGGCCATCATCAACATTCCCATGACCTGCGAGCTTTACCGCGGTGAGCAGCCACCCGTGGTGTTTACTACAATGTCGCCAATCTTCATTGGGATTACACAGAGGCCGATTCCCACTTCCATAATAGAGCTTTTTGGGTTAAATTGCGTAAATATATAAATGTGTCTTTAAAACCCGCCACCACCCGACACAGCCAACTAGTAAGGGTTGTCACGTAAACAGAACGTACCAATTCGTCACTAGTACAGCACACCAGTGTGTTGGAGAGCCAAGCCACAAGATTTACAATCTGAGTACGACGTTTCGCCAGAAATTACAACTAGCTTCATCAAGCGACAGCCAGATATGTGGAGAAGTCTTACTGTTTCGTTCCTTATATAGAGGCGTAGATGTGTTGACCATGCTTCTGCGCTCTTGCACAATGTGGGGGGGGGGGGGTGATTACTGAGGCAACGTACATTATGCATGCGCATTATGCGAACCCTTTCTGTCTATTGTGTATTAAAATAGCCCTACCAACGGTAATCCCTATTGAAGTACGCTGCCGTATGTAGGCATGCATTTAAATAATGTATTATTACACGCAGCACTAAGGCAGTAGCTATCCATTACAACTCTTATGTGACAACCCTGACTAGTTTACGTGACGACCCTTACTAGTTGGCTGTGTCGGGTGGTGGTGTGTTTTAACGACACATTTATATATTTACGCGATCTAACCCAGAAACCTCTATTATGGATGATATTGGTCGTGTAAGCCTCCTATGTGTTAAACGATCCCCACTTGCAGGCCGGGTGCTGTCCCCTCGTGCCGCACAGAGACGGATGCCACCGGGGTGCCCTCAGCTAGACCACACGGCAGTAACCTTCACCCTTCCTACTGGCAGAATAATGCCCACTTGCAGGCCAGGGGATGATTCATCATTGTGTCGCACACAGCCAGCTACCACAGGGGGTGTCAATTCACAATTTATTGTATGTATGTTGAACTTCTTTGCACCATATGTAGTCAACCATCCTAATCAGAGGTGCGGGGAAGGACAACTACACACGTGAAATGTAATATGCCAGTTGCTGATTACGTGTAAAGCACTGTGTGACGCTACTAGCATGATGGTGGCTCTATAAAACACAATTCATGATGATTAATTCATTCGACGACCATTTGGCTCAAATGTATCACTTGTCCGTAAATCAACGCCAAAATATTTATAATTTACGTTGTAAAATGTATTCCACTAATTACAAAAAGTAAAGTTCTTGTGAGAAGATGGATCTTTTGGATACTTCATCCCTGATCTCTTACATCTCTTGAATGCATCTCTCTCATCAGCTCTCTCCGAGATTCAACAACGTGCAAAGGTGTGCCCATAAACTAAACTTAAAAAAAAATCACCAGGCAAGGCCCACTGAGATATATCGCTCTCTTTCAGAAACGACCTGGCCACAAGTGATAGAGAGCAGCAGGCAGAAGACAACAGACGATGATTGCCGGTCAGGGATTCAACTCTCGTGGAATATTTTCTCACCATCTGCCGACTCAGGCTACCACAGCCCCTGGCGGTGGTGGTCACGGCGCCTCCTCCTCCTCCCGGGAAGTCGAGAGCGCGCGTGTCCGGTGCCTGTCTCTGACCATGCCCACACGCGCCACTCCCATCTCCCTCTCTCGCTCACACACACGCAGGGGAAACGGCCATCCACATCGCCATCGCCAACGAGAACGTGGTGATGGTGAAGGAGCTGCTGCACCGCGGAGCCGACATCACCGCGCGGGCCTGCGGTTCCTTCTTCCTGCCCGGCAAGCGCTGCCAGTGCTACTACGGTGAGCCGGGGAGGGAGCGAGAGGAAGAGGGGGGGCAATCGCTCAGTGGGCCTTGCCTGGTGAAATTAAAAGGTTTCGTTTGTGAGGACACCTTCGCACATTGTTGAATCTAAGAGCTGAACAGAGAGATGCATTCTAGAGATGTAAGAGATCACGGATGAAGTATTGAAAACATCCATCCTAGGAATGAGATCTTCGCAAGAGCTTTCCTTTTTGCAAGTAGTGCGATACAGTTTACAACGTAAATTATAAATATGTTGGCATGCATGACGCGCCTTTGTTGTCGTCACTGTTGTAACGAGCCACGTGTTGGTGATGAGGCGTGGATACACGTGGACGAGTCGATCCGCGGATGTATGCCATTGTCCAGGAGTCGATTCCCTCGGAGTGTTTAAAGGAGAAAATACTCAGAGCGCGTGTTTTTATTGTAAATATGGAGGGAAACACCAGAGGGCCTCGAGAAAAATCCACGCGACCACTGGAAGAGAGACACACAAACTCCAAATATACAGCAGCAGGCACCAGGGTCAGGCTCGAACCTACAACCTCCTGTATACCAGGCGAGGTAATTAACATCTCGCCACCGTAGCACCCTTATCCTAATTACAAACCTGAGCCAGTGGTGGGCATTACACGTTCGTATGGCAAGGGCAAATCTGGGGGTTGTCACATACGAGGGAGGGGATTGCGGAGATGGGAATGGTGGGGGGGGGAGTGACTGTCGTGACCAGGTACTTCAACTCCTACAAGGTGCAATAGTATAGCATTATTATAGATACAGTGAGGGAAAAAAAAGTATTTGATCCCCTACTGATTTTGTACATTTGCCCACTGACAAAGAAATGATCAGTCTATAATTTTAATGGTAGGTTTATTTGAACAGTGAGAGACAGAATAAGAACAAAACAATTCAGAAAAACGCATGTCAAAAATGTTATAAATTGATTTGATATTTAATGAGGGAAAAAAATATTTGACTCCCTCTCAATCAGAAATATTTCTGGCTCCCAGGTGTCTTTTATACAGGTAACGATCTGAGATTAGGAGCACACTCTTAAAGGGAGTGCTCCTAATCTCAGCTTGTTACCTGTATAAAAGACACATTTTCACAGAAGCAATCAATCAATCAATCAGATTCCAAACTCTCCACCATGGCCAAGACCAAAGAGCTCTCCAAGAATGTCAGGGACAAGATTGTAGACCTGCACAAGGCTGGAATGGGCTACGAGACCATCGCCAAGCAGCTTGGTGAGAAGGTGACAACAGTTGGTGCGATTATTCGCAAATGGAAGAAACACAAAAGAACTGTCAATCTCCCTCGGCCTGGGGCTCCATCCAAGATCTCACCTCGTGGAGTTGCAATGATCATGAGAACGGTGAGGAATCAGCCCAGAACTACACGGGAGGATCTTGTCAATGATCTCAAGGCAGCTGGGACCATAGTCACCAAGAAAACAGTTGGTAACACACGACGCCGTGAAGGACTGAAATCCTGCAGTGCCCGCAAAGTCCCCCTGCTCAAGAAAGCACATATACATGCCCGTTTGAAGTTTGCCAATGAACATCTGAATGATTCAGAGGACAACTGGGTGAAAGTGTTGTGGTCAGATGAGACCAAAATGGAGCTCTTTGGCATCAACTCAACTCGCCGTGTTTGGAGGAGGAGGAATGCTGCCTATGACCCCAAGAACACCATCCCCACCGTCAAACATGGAGGTGGAAACATTATGCTTTGGGGGTGTTTTTCTGCTAAGGGGGCAGGACAACTTCACCGCATCAAAGGGACGATGGACGGGGCCATGTACCGTCAAATATTGGGTGAGAACCTCCTTCCCTCAGCCAGGGCATTGAAAATGGGTCGTGGATGGGTATTCCAGCATGACAATGACCCAAAACGCACGGCCAAGGCAACAAAGGAGTGGCTCAAGAAGCAGCACATTAAGGTCCTGGAGTGGCCTAGCCAGTCTCCAGACCGTAATCCCATAGAAAATCTGTGGAGGGTGCTGAAGGTTCGAGTTGACAAACGTCAGCCTCGAAACCTTAATGACTTGGAGAAGATCTGCAAAAAGGAGTGGGACAAAATCCCTCCTGAGATGTGTGCAAACCTGGTGGCCAACTACAAGAAACATCTGACCTCTGTGATTGCCAACAAGGGTTTTTGCACCAAGTACTAAGTCATGTTTTGCAGAGGGGTCAAATACTTATTTCCTTCATTAAAAAGTAAATCAATTTATAACATTTTTGACATGTGTTTTTCTGGATTTTGTTGTTGTTATTCTGTATCTCACTGTTCAAATAAACCTACCATTAAAATTATAGACTGATCATTTCTTTGTCAGTGGGCAAACGTACAAAATCAGCAGGGGATCAAATACTTTTTTCCCTCACTGTAGGGGTACCTTGCACTCTGATGGGAGTGCCAAACTGCAAGGACAGCCTCGCAACGTTCTGGAAAATATTCAGCTTGTGAGAGATGAACTCTTGCACTGTAGGGAACACACGCAGGGTAATCATTCCATTTCTCAAAAGGGAAGACACGCAGGGCAATTACTTCACTCAAACCAGGTTAAGAGCAGGCTGGGCCTGGGCAGGACTCGTCTCGTTAGGTTAGGAAGATGCTGGCCGTGGGTGACGATTACTTAGTGAGTGGCATCACTATCACAATCATCATCTCCACCACCACTATCATTATCATCATCACTATCATCATCACCACCATCATTATCATCATCATCGCCATTGTTGTCACCACCATCAGAATCGCTATCATCATTGTCACCACCATCATCACCATAACCACCATCATCATCATAATCACTGTCATAATAATCATCACCATAACCACCGTCATCATCACCATAACCACCATCATCACCATAACCACCGTCATCATCACCATAACCACCATCATCATCATAACCACTGTCATCATTTCCATAACCACCGTTGTCACCCGAGAGTGATCGCTGGCCGTGCGTGTGACTGTGCTGACAGGCGAGTACACGCTGTCATTCGCGGCCTGCACAGGGAACGAGATGATCGTCAAGCTGCTCATGGACCACGGAGCCTCCCTCATCACGCAGGACTCCCTCGGTCAGCGCCCCTCCCTCGGCGCTCCATCCCGTCGCTATTGGCGCCACCGTAGCGCCCCACTGTTAGTGCCGCTTAGCGGGCAGCAGACGGCAGCAGACTGCAAAATCAAATTGTCGTGGCGTGGTTCTTCTCCTGTGCCTGCGTCTAAGCTTTCCGCATGCACCGACACGCGCTGACCGCTGGCTGTTGCCGGGTTCATGGACAGATAACCTCAAGAACAGCCCGTTCTCCTATAACACTGCGTGTTTTGATCACGCGAATTGGATATAACGCGATTTAGTGAACAGAACTACGTCGCGCTAGTAAGAATAAGCGGTTTTACAGCTGTCTCGGCATAGTAAGGCATTGGGATGCTGCTGGATGCTTCTAGTATCTAGATACTACTAGATACTACCCACGCGGCTTTAGTCTTCGTTTAGCCTGTGTACGCATCTCTCGTGTTATCGTGGACTTTGCTTTACCCTATATTATATGATTTATAAAACTAAATTTTTCGATAATGCGGTGTTCTTCAGGAACGCTACTACCACTGTGCTATAGGAGAACAACAGACTGTGTGCGTGGTCTAGGGCAGGACACGTCGCTCGCTGGAAGCGAATGATGGCCCCTGGTCCAGACTCATGACAAAGAGGAGGGAACACGTCTGAGACGACGTCCACCGTGGAGATGGAGAAATTAAACGAGCTCGGATAGATTGCTACTGCATGGCGAAACCTGAAGAAATGTCAACGTCTTGTGGATGACTTCATCCAGCAGTGGACACATCACAGCCGATGATGACGATGATGATGCTGAGCCTCATGCATTAATTAGGATAGTGCGGTGATATTGGTGAGAGAGGGAAAGGTTAGAAAGCAAACCGAAGGCATTGACAATGACCGAGTAATGTAGTGGACCATCATTGCTTTTGCAGTTGTTGTTTGACGTCTTTCCTCGGCTGTTTCCACACGCAAGCAATTATCGTCCTGAATCTATTTTGAAGTTTCTGGAAACTAAATTTTTCAAATATCCGTCCCATCGTCTCCACCATTGGCCCGATACCTTGCAGCCATTCACTGGTAAGACCACCTCTTCTGTTCTTAACTCAGCTCACCTGGTATAATCAATTAAAGACATCTCACTGTCCCCAGGTGATTTGCTCGTTAGTTTCGATGTAGTTTCTTTGTTCACCAAAGTTCCTGTGCACGATACCATTGCAATCATTGAAGAATTGGTCCAACAAGGATTGCATGCTGATGTACCGGCCCTGATGAGGCACCGCCTCACCAATACATACTTCACTTGGAATAAAACATTATACAAACAAACTGAAGGCACCCCAATGGCTTCTCCCTTATCTCCACTTGTAGCCAATATTTTCATTGACAAATTTAAGACGGATACCATCCAGGCATCCACTCTACGCCCGTCCTTGTGGAAGAAGTACGTGGATGATACATTTGTCATCTGGCCGCATGGCCGACCGGCTCTGAACCAATTCTTCAATCACATCAATTCCATACACCCATCCATAAAATTCACCATGGGGGTAGAAAAGGATGGCATGCTACCTTTCTTGGATTCCCTAATCAAAAGAGACATGATGGCTAATTGAGCCATTCTGTCTACAGGAAAGTAACCCATACTGACATCTACCTAAAACCTGATTCCCACCACCACCCATCCCAGAAGAATTCCCTCATCATAACTCTACACCATAGATCTCAATGTATCTCTGACCATGAACACCTAACCAGTGAACTCAACCACATACACCAAGCTCTCAAGGCGAATGGATACTCTGACTACACAATCCACAAAGCCATCACCCCACCTGTGAGAAAGGAGACATCTGAGGATCCAATCAAAACCATCACCTTGCCATACATAGCAGAGGTAACCAAATTTTTTTCCTAAATCATGAACAAACACAAGATCCAAGTTCGATTTAACATAGTACATAAAATGTGTGATCTGATCCCATCTGTGAAGGACAAGATTCCTGACATGCAATATCCCGGCATCTACAAACTAAGCTGTATCTGTGGCAGTAGTTGCATTGGGGAAACTAAGCGACATGTCTCGGACCGTGTTCGTGAGCATAAGGCAGATTTGAAACACGGTAGGACCAATACTTCTGCCGTGGCGGATCATTATTTTAATACAGCTGGCTCACACGAAAGTGATTTCTCTAAGACGATGGTACTTTGCAAGCCTACTGGCTATCAACAAAGATTCGTTCATGAAGCCATCCATATTTACAGACACAATTTCAACCGAGATGATGGTTATACAAGATGTCATCAACCACTTTGGGTCATTACTTGATTTGTGTTTTCTTGTCAACCTCCACCGTCATCAGTGTGGGTATGTGGAGCGAGGTGCAATGCTTTAATTGGTGTAGATCTACTGCCGGTGTCGGGGCTTTCTCCTACATTAACATTAGCTGCCCCGCCCATCTCTTAAACCTTTATAAATAGCTTTCCTTTAGAGGCGAACCTCCCTGTTCCTGATGACGATCACTTGTGTTCCGATGGAAAGGTCGTGATATTTTTTTTATCACTTTTTTTTCTATCTATGTGACTTTACTGAAAGAACCATAGAATATGGAAATGTATAGTAGCAGCCAAATAATCGAAACGTGTGTTTCTAAATGTGGCCACGGGGAGAGAGACATGCAAACTCCAAAAATACAGGCATCAGGGTCGGGATCGAACCCATGACCTCCTGTATACCAGGCGAGGTAGTTAACATCTGGCCCCCGTGGCAGCCCAAAAAACCTTGCCTATTGCGGGATTTTACATCATGGATTTGACTATGCAGTACGTGCCAAATGTATTGAGGCATAGTTCACCAATCGTGCCCCTGTGGTTCGACCACTCGCGGGATTCCTGTACACATCGTAGAGAAGTACTTTACTCTAACTGTACTGCTCATGATGATGCTGCTGTGGAAGAACACGCACGCCGTCCTGTCTCTATCCTGTCTCCATCTCGATCCATCCTGTCTCCATGATTTATCCATCCTGTCTCCCACACAGCCCATCGTTGATCACAGGTCACGTGTTGCCAGCGTTCAGTGAGGCATTGACTGTAACAGTTATATTTAACACCGTAGAAACTATTCACGATATTTTACATCAAACATACTTCCTGTTTCATGTTTTGGGTTGATGTAGAGTGGTGTCGTATTACAAACCATGAACCAAACCCGACGCTTCCGATTCGAGTTTTCGGATCGCACATTTTCCGATTGTGGCAATTTTTAAGAACTTTTAAGAACTTCATCCCCACGATGCGCAACCTTTTGGGGTATAAGTTTACCGACTTTTCTTTACTCCAATTTCTATTTTGCCGTTGCTCTGATTGTTAGTTTGGTCCTTGCTGTAATTTCTTATTTGGTTATTTGTACGCTGATTTCTATTTGCTTCATTACTGCACTTGTTTTTCGAACAATATTGCTTTTGTAATTGTGGTGACCCAAGTCAGCTTTAATGGATGAGACGAGTATCCTGGTTCATGAGGGCTCCACGGTGGCGAGATGTTAACTACATCGCCTCGTATGCAGGAGGTCATAGGTTCAATCTCGACTCTGACACCAGTATATTTGAAGTTTGCGCCTCTCTTGCTCTCCCCGTGGTAGCGTGTATTTTTCTCCGGGTCCTTCGTTTTTTTCCCCTCCACATTTAGAATCAACATCACGCGTTTCGAGTATTTGGCTGCTACTATAAATTTCCACGCGATAAGCCACTTCGTTGAGCTATCATTTGTGATGGCCAGGTCGCTTCTGAAAACGAACTATGTAGCCCAGTGGGCCTTCTTACCAGGTAAAACACAAATAGTTCAGCTGGTTAATGATGTGCTCACCTGGTCACACAAAACAAGACTTGAAGCTTGTTGTCGCACACCCCACCCCGTTTGCCGCATGCAGGCAACACGGTGCTGCACGTGCTGGTGCTGCACCCCGACCGGGTGCTCGCCGTGCACATGTACGACTTTCTCATCTCGCTGGTGCACGAGGGCCAGCGGCGCTCGCTCGAGGCCATCCAGAACGCCCAAGGGTTCTCTCCGCTCAAGCTCGCGGCCGCCGAGGGGAATCTGGCCGTGAGTTTTTCGTTTTATTTCAAATTGTGTGTATTTTTTGTGGCCGTGATTTGCTTACCTTTACAAAGCTTTGTACTCCTGTTTGTGTGTTTTGAATTGGAAGCTGCTGTAACGTTCTGAGCCCCGTGAGTCTAAATTCTGCCTGCTGCTAACATCAGTGGCGAATTATTATGCTGTCTGTTTGAGTTCCATGATGGAGAGTAATCGTTTTCCTAAGTAAATACCTTCAGCGCATGAGCAGTGAGGTTGGACGTTTGTGATAAAAATAGCTTCCCAGCTAATCGGATTCCTCCAGTATGAATAAATATTATGATGATGTCTTGATATTGCTCTCAGATTGTCTATGTGCTGGAAGAACTTGAAATTAATTACTGAAAAGTATGACTTCATATAATAGTATGACTTCATACTTTTCCTTAACACCTTAAGTTACCAAAAAAATTATTATATATATTAAACTTATCAGAACCACATATTTAAAGTGTTTGTCAACTACATTTTTTTGCAAGAATGTTTAATATAAAGGCATTACAAGTTTAACATCTACTTTAAGAAATATTGGAGCAATGCGGAGGGGAGCAGTGGCACTGCACTACGAACCCAGGTAACCCAGGTTCTATAAAGATGGGAAAAACAGCTTTATAGCTCATCGGATTCCTCCAGAATAAATATATATTCTGATTCAGATTTTCTTAAGCGGGACTTTGTTTTTTTTTACAACTTTCCTGAGTGCTACCGGCCCAAAGGCCCAAATCGTCATGAGGGGCCGGCAACACGCGGCACCAGTCAATGTTGTGCGAGGTGCAACGTCAACGCCTATCTTGCTCGCGACGTTGGCCGCCGGTCATGCGGGTCAGATCGAATCGAGGGGGTGGCTGCTCATCCACCGTTTGTTGTCTTTCAAAAAAATGCTTTTACATGTCCCCCCGCTGGTTACGTGCGGGGTGGGGTGGTGGTCGCGCATTTGTCCATGCACGGGCCGCGGCCCACGGTCTCGTGGCGCCGGCTGTGGCCGCTGCAGCTCCTGTGCTCGGATTGAGCCTCGACGATGCCCCCCACCCCTTCCCCCAATGGCGCTGAGAGGAGACGGTTTCTGCGTTTCCCTCAGATGTTCAACCACCTCATGCAGAAGAGGAAAAACATCTACTGGAACTGCGGCCCCGTCAGATCAGCCATTTACGACCTCACGGACATCGACACGTGGGGAGACAAAAACTCGATCTTGGAAATTATCACCTCCAGCAAAAACAAAGAGGTGAGTGCCCAGTTTAGACACGGCGCTAAATCACCGTCAGACTGTTATTATTTTACCTCCACAATGAATTGACACACAGACGCCTGGGGCACAGGCATCTGTGCGTAGCATTTTTCATAGAACGTCATTACAAATTTTACTTGGGATCTGTTTTCAAAAATATTGAAACCATGCGGAGGGGAGCAGTAGCACTGCTCTACGAACCCAGGAAATCCGATGAGCTTTTTCAGAGCTTACCCACCACTCCAGTGGGTGGTGGGGCACAGGCAAGGAATTACCCCCCAGTGAGGAGCTCGCATCTGACTCCCGATTCCCAATAACCCACGTGGCGGAGCCTATACAGACTGAAGAGAGTGAGTCTCTGCAGATGCTGCAACTCTCTCATAAAATCCTGGGGGGGGGGGGGGGCTCCTACACTACAAGCGACCAATGTGTGATTGTCAAAAGAAGCAAAACCGTGGATCATCTCCTGAGATGCCCTGCAGCATCCACAATGCACTACCTCCAGATTTGGCCATGCCAACGCCACACAAACGGTGGGGTGGCCTGTGCAGAATATTGGGAAAGTGCCATGTAGAGGTTGGGCAGGAGACACCACGACGACACCCCAGTCGATCATCACACACAGTCTGACTGCCTGCTAGCCGGGATGGAAGCTGTCCACTGGCACCACCGCACCACGGCACATGGCAGATGAAGCCATTGCAGTCGTGATCAGGATGAAGGGACTGCAATGCATATATTATCAGAGTATGTTTTTTGTTTGCATTCTGACCACAAGTGTTGTGGTTAATGCAGACATGATTCCTTGTAAAAGATTTCAGTTTGGTGTTTTAACATCTTAACACCTATTTTGTTGCCAGAAAAAAGGGGAAAACCGATTATCATATTTTGGTACTGGCAAATGAGGTCCCATTATGTATATGATGAACATTTTCCTCAAGGGCAGGTTGGAAACATGTACTATACAATAGGGCATTATGTAATTATGCAAATTATCATATGCTACTTAGGAAAATGTAATTGTATGAAGTTATGCAAGTGTATGCTAGTATGCTAATCCATGCAATTATGATAATTAGGCTCTGCCTTGTTGTCTAGGGTTGCATTATCAATCGGGATGATACAATGAAGGTGTAATTGTATTAAGTTATGCAAGTGTGATGTAAGTATGCCGATTAAGCTCGGCTTCGTTGTCTAGGGTTGTCTTATCAATCAGGATAATACAATGATTATCGCTTTAACTTTTACTGATTGTGTTTTAGTGTTTTTATGTCAGGTCTCAAAATTTAGATCTCACTAAAGGATACAGTTCTTATAGTTAAGATTATGCATGAACTTAGGAAGGCACCACTCAGACTCTTCTGTGTTAAGCAACTTTAATCTCTAAACAAAAACATAACACTCTAATATGCGAACTCTTATGCTAGGAATGTCATTGATCCGTACAAATAACCCTCAATGGTTACGTTTGTTAACTGGGTAACAGAACAATCGGTTAATTCCTCAGAGTAAAGCGAGCATACACGGCGATGGGAAAAAGTCCTTAAAAATGATGTGCCAATATTCATACGAACAGTAATAAAGAAACATGTCCTGAAAGCAAAAGTAGACCTCAATTAATTCATTGGTAAGATTATGCAATTCACGAAAATGAATGACTAAAATAACAATCGTATTCATGTAACTCGACGGGCAGAAATGCTTTTCACGATCAGCTGATATTTAACGCACCACCTTGGAATGGCAACCCTTCTTGAAACACAAAGATAACTTTTTGGAACAATCTAATCGTCTCGATATGCGTGTTGTGTGCGTGTGCCTTCTTTGCCACTTATTGACTTGGCGGCTTACGTGGTACGGCGTTCCTTGTGCTGAAAATACCTCGGGTTCCCAGCAGGGCCGCTGGGACGGTGTGTGTGTGTATTGAACAGACGGTACTCTTTCCTGCGCCAACACTCTTCCTCTTGGCGTTGCCAGTTCTCTCCACTGCTGGTTGGTTGAGTTGACACGATGATTCCGTCTTCAGATAGCGCTCGCAGCTCGTCCGCTGGTCGCCGTTCCTCACTCTTGTCTTGGTACCCAGCTGATGCTTGTCGGTGTGCGTGTGGGTCGAACCCACGGCGCTCTTGCTGGCACTGACACTCTTCCTCACGGGCGGCTGGTCAGGCTCTTTCCCCTGCTCCGTGCTCTCTCCTTTATCGTGCAGCTGCCAGCTTCACACGGGCACCTGCTGGTGCCTCTCCCACCCTTACTTCAGGGCTGCGCTGCCTCAGGCTCGTTCCACTGCTCCATTCTCTCTCCTTTGGCAGGCAGCTGCCAGTTTCACGCTGGCATTCAGTATTGCCTCTCCCACCCTTCCTTCAGGGCTTCGCCTTGTCGTTGCTCAACTTTCGTGCTCTCCGCCCTTCTTCCAAGAGGGTTCTTGCTGTGAGCTGCTCGTCGCTGGCTGGATCACTCACTCTCAAAACTTGTAAATTGTATTAGCACACCTCTTACACAACTCTGATAGCTTAGTACAATACAACTTATCGCAATCCTCGATTCTGCAAGCGACTCAAAACATCAGGATGAATGTAGAATAAAACTTTCAGCGATACTCTGTCGGTCCATGGCGAACTCAGCTCTTCACAATACACCGTCCCTTCTCTCTGCGAGACACGACACCCATGGTTGATTTCGAGGCCATGCCCCGGAGCCTGCCCCTTACAAGACTACGTTGCATGATCTGTGTCCCTGCTTATATCTGAAATTCTTTCCCCTCGGCTCGCCTTCTCACAAAGGACCGACATTCCTTCGATTTTGCTCTCAGCCTGTGGGAACAGCTGTTTGTCCGGTGTATGTGTTCTAATTTTATTTTAGTAATATAAGTCTCATCAAAGCCTGGTTCTTGTCCCCTTCCTCAAGCCACCCCGCCATCAATGGAAGCAGATGCTCCAAATTGCCCCCAAGTGCGTCCTTCCAGTCCTCCAACCCTCTGCAATAATTAATCTGGAAGGAGGGGGGGAGGGGTGCCCCTGTCCGGTTGCGTTCTCCCCCCTCTTTCCCCACGGCTGGGGGTGTTGTATTTTTGTCTCTCTCAAATAGGGGCGCCTCTTGCTTGTACGTGCTTTGTGGCGGCCTTTGAAGCCCGGTAGAGATTTCCCCAGAATCTCATTAGCAACCCCTTCTCCCCCTTTTGCACCGGGGTTTATTATTATGATTACCTTTTATGGCTACTTCCTTGCCTGGTGTGGCTTGTGAGAGGCAGCTGCTGTTTAAGGGGAGGGGGTTCGCATCACCCCCTTTGTGCCCCAAGCGACACCCCGATCGATTTTTTTTTTAATATTGGCAGAATTATTCTTAATATACATTTTTGGAAAAAGGCCTATATATACAACAGCATGAGCCTCCATGCTTCGATACACTGATAGGTGAAGCTAATCAAGGAAGCTTATCCACCACCGACCAAGCTGGAGGCATGGACTCCTCGAGATCCACGTGGCGCTCTACTAGACTTGCATACAAGTATTTCGCTCCTCGTTTTGATTTCCTGGAGATTCCATTTTATCCAAATGAACAAACTACCGACGTATGCAGTGGATCCATGGCACTGTCACATGACGGTCACTCCGCTGGGCCATGCGGCGTGCCCAACATCAAACACGCATGAGTGTATGTGTGTGTGTGTAAGCACGAGCGGTCGGGTAGAGGGGAAACTGAAGAGTAGCGGTTAACACACTGCACTACGAACTCGACAGCCCGAGTTCTATTCCGGCTCATGGCCAACACCAGTGATCATTTATCTGAACTGGGCCTCCCCTAGGTCGACTCAGGCTCAATTGAGTACCTGGTGTGGTGTGTTTAAACATCGCCACTTGGGCGACAAAGGCGGCGGAGCATGGTGTTGGTCACCCACCCCCTCGTGTTCCATGCCGGCCTTCATAGGTGATCGCTAACAGCACTTGCCGCAACAGTCTCGTGAGGCTTGTGACATAATAACTGCGCTCATAGTTATTTCATTACTATATAAATGAGAGAATTGCTCAGGTTTGAAAATGCACATTACTACAGACGCGTGCGTGAATTGATTCACTGGGAGTGAGTTTGAACCTGCAAGCTCTCGTGGCCATGCCGCAGCTGCACTGAGCGTGGCCTGCAGCCCAGCGCTGTGGTCTGTAGTCTAACACTGTGGCCTGCAAGCCAGCGTTATGGTTTGTAGTCCAGCGCTGTGGCCTGAAAGCCAGCACTGTGGCCTGAAGTCCAGCACTATGTCCTGTAGTCCATCGCTGTGGAGGCAGCAGCAGCGGGGTTTGGTCGATCACCGCACAGATGTTGTGAAACTCCCTTTCCCATGGGCGTCCAGAAGGAGCCATAGCCTGGCACGCCAGGAGAAGGCGGTACAACAAAGTGCGGACCGATGTCATCTGTCCCTTCTGTACGGGGATAGAGCGTTGCCCCCTCGTGCGCGTGGGTTTTCTCCCATACATATGAACGCACCTCCCCCGCCCTACACCTCCGATTATCACGGTTGGCTACGTATGGTGGTGTGATAGAAATTCAACGTACATACATAAAAAAACACTCATTAATTGGCAGACAACCACTTAACATGCAGAGGAATGCAAAGTTCGGGCAATTGCTAGTAACGCCAGCTCACCACGTGGCTGCTGCTGCTGCCTGCCAGCTCATCCTGTGGTTCCTCGGCTAGCGTGAGAGATGCAAAATTTGCACGAACGACGACGATGATAAAGCGGTCTGGGCTGGCTTCGTCTGCCAGGCCCATGCCACGTGCCGCCCACGGCCACGGTCGTGACGTCACGAGCTGAGCCCCGGAGAGATGCCCCCCCACATATCGCCCAGCCATGGGGACAACCCACACACTCAGATCCGTTTGAGTGACGTCAAAAAAGACGACTAATTTCCAGTAACAGTTCAAAAACCTTTTTCAGCATTTTGCTGCAAGGCTGAGTGCCTCGCCTTTTGCAAACGTGTGTCTATTTCCATAGAGAAATTTAATATTGAGTACTTTTTTTAGTTTTTATGGAACCAGAGCAACTTTGCATCGATCTTAATGTTGCACACTCGAGATGAAGGACGTGGGCAGGTGCTCCAAATCGAGGGCAAGCACATTTATTTATTGTGGTTCATATGAATCTTGGGAAGAACAGCACCGTCACTCTGTAAAATGCAACAGCGCGTGTTACACGCAGCAATCCTTCCGAGACGCCATTAACCATGTGGCTGGTTTACACGTGCGGTTATTCATTAACCCTTTCTCTTAAACCCAATTCTACTACTGATAAACCATCCTTATCTTTGACAATCACATTTGCCCATCACTATTCGAATATTACTTTAATCCTAAGCTGTATGTCTCTCTATACCATCCACTTCTATCGGTATCTTACATCTATTATATGTACTGTATGTGTACAGTATACGTACTGTATCTCACCATTGTACAGCTTACTACTTTACATGTGTTATATTCTCAATAGCATTGCAAGTAGTCATACTCTGGGTACATGGGCATGGTTATAGACTAAACAGTATTAGAGTTAGAGAATTACAATGACAGTAACTAATTACAGTGCATCATCCCTTTACAATGCACAGTGCTAAAATGCCTCTAATTGCATATATCACAAACGAACAATTCAAAGCCAAGCTTAAAGTCTAGAACAAGTCTAGAACATTTATATAACGATCAAAAACAACCTTTGGGTCCTTTACCTGTAAAATGCAACAGCGCGTGTTACACGCAGCCATCCTTCCGAGACGCCATTAACCATGTGGCTGGTTTACACGTGCGGTTATTCATTAACCCTGCCAGCCACCTACAGGCCCGACTCAGACATTACATGCTGCTGTACACACATGCATTGATGCATTGCACAGCACATCAGGGACCTTCACAGAACCACACTTTACTCCCTTGCTGCACAAGGACACACTTAAAAGAGTGATCCATTCCTAATGTGCCACATGAAGCACAATTGTGCCTCTGTAAATGGAGGCTGTTATGCAGAACCCCACGGTCAAACGCGCCCGTGTCTCAGTGCTCACACTGTATCTCACCCCATGTCTCACTGCTCGCTCTGCCCGTGTCTCACTGCCTGCACACAAGGCTCGCAACCTGATCGGGATGACGCCCATCAAAGAGCTCCTCCACCACAAGTGGAAAGTGTACGGTTTCAAGTACTTCCTCATCTGGACCGTTCTCTACATCTTCTACATCCTCATCTTCACCGTCTGCTGCATCATGCGTCCTCTACAGCACGTGAACAGGCTCGACAACGCCACCATAATGGGTTCCAAGCAAATAAGGGTACGTCGCCGCATGTGAGGATTCACATCCCATAGGGTGCTTTCAAATGCTTTGGCAACTCAAAAGTAGCGTTTGGGAATTGGTACCATGATGCCCACGCTGTGCTCCGAATAACGACACGGGGACCATTTGGAGTCCACTTCCATGCAGACGGCGTTCAGTGTTCATGAGCAACGTGTGCGCAGGATTAACCAGGGCGCGGCCCACTGGGGTCTGAACCACAAACTGCTCCAACAAGCCGCAAGGTCACAAGAGTGCCTCAGTCAAATCTCACCTGTGTATTTTAATCTCACCCTGATTAAATCACACGCCGACGGCATTCACGTCAGAGAGTCAATGTTAGAAATAACACGGTTATAAGGCGCACGGTGAAGCCGTTGTTTCTGTTATTACAAGCACGGCTAATATTTAACTATTTGTTATTACAGTTTTTATTTTACCAGGTAAGTTCCCCACTGAGCTATGTAGCTCTTTTTAAGAAGTGACCTGGCCACAAATGATAGCTCAACGAAGTGGCTTATCACGTGGAAATTGATAGCAGTCAAACACTCTAAACGCGTGACGTTGATTCTAAACTTGGAGGGAAAACCCGTAGGACCCGGAGAAAAATCAGCATGACCACGAGAAGAGAGAGACTTGCAAACTCCAAATATACAGCAGGCGTCAGGGTCTGGATCGAACTCACAACCTCCTGTAAACCGGATATAGGTAGTTAACATCTTGTCACCGTGGCACCCAAATATGAATGGTTCACCAAGAAAATCGAACAAAAGCTCAAAAGTGTGCAGAGAAGCACGGGGAAGTGCGTGCGTGTAATTGCATTCAGAGACGCAGAAAGGAATGCACGTGAGAGGAATCGAGCCCACGCCATGTTCAGCGAGGTGTCTATATTGGACAACCTCACAAGGTAACGTCCCCGGTCATATAGGCAAATAACATGCTACGCTTCAGCACTGCATCCACAACTCCCTCCGCCTCTCTTTGCTCTCTGCTCTTATACCCCCGGTCCACATTGCTTGCCAGTCACTCATTGTCCGGGGCTTAGTCTCACATTGTGATTAACTGGCCAAGCGTATTTAAGTTCCCTACTTAATCCCCACCCAGGGGCTTTTGCTCCAGGTTATGATGAACTGCCCCCGGTGCCGCCCGAGTCTCCCAACACGTGGTATGGGGAAGACGGGCGGCTCAGGGATGCCGCATTGAACGTCAGCCTCAGTGAGTGGACCTTGGGCACGACGCGTCGTATCCAGGCCTGGATGATAGCCGGTGGTCGAGACGAACGACGGAGCAACAGCACGAGATGGGAACGTGCTCAGCAAGACGTCGAGTTTGAAGCGATGACATCAGCTCGAACTGCAAGCTGCAGCGTTGTACAAAGAACTATTGTGGAACGTGCTGTGATGGGTATTGCAAGATCCGACTGTGTCTGTCCAGTGCTCGCCGAGCTGCATTGGCTTCCGGTTGCTGAACGAATGCATTTTAAGTTCGCTACACACAAAGTGTTTGCCACAAATGAAACACTACCATTGGTGATCTCGTCAAGGAACATGAACCATTACACAAAATCCAGTCATCTTCGCAGTGGCTTTTGGCTAGCCATTAATTAAAGATGGTCACTGCAACGCACACTTTCAGATGCACTTCTGCGGTCGTTTGGAATGCGCTTCCTTCTGAGATTAGAAAGCTACTGGCGCTATACACTTTTAAATCTAGATTGAAAACTCATATCTTTAGAACTGCTTTTGTGTTTAGTTTGTTGCCCTTTCCCCACATCTCGGAATTGCACGGTTGGCTATGTACGGTGCGAAAGAGGTTCAACATACATACAGCTCACGTTTAAGAATGCATCACATGACCATGAGGGATGTCGACGGAATAGGGAGGCCTTCATCCAGCAGTGGATAACTCATTGCTAATGATGAAGACAGCTTAGACTCAGACTGGAAAGGCCCCCAGTGGACTTAACGGCTCTGTTCTATGGAGGACCATAGCCCAGAGCGTTGGCACTGGTGACATTTACATAGAGTTAGATAAAGATCCATAGAGTTACATACAGAGCCATAGAATTGGGTAGATATCCATAGTTACATGGATATCTATAGAGTTACGTAGAGATCCCTAAAGTTAGATACATATCAATAGAGTTACTTAGAGATCCACAGAGTTACTTAGAGATCCATAGAGTTACTTAGAGATCCATAGAGTTACTTAGAGATCCATAGAGTTACTTAGAGATCCATCGAATTACATAGAGATCCATAGAGTTACATAGAGTTACATAGAAATTAATAGACTTACATAGAGATCCATAGAGTTTCATAGAGAGCCATAGAGTTATATAGACATATATAGAGTTATTGAGAGTTCCATTAACACAAGTGACCTTTGCTCATCAGCAGGGCTATCGTAACATTGTTCGCAGGTGTTTACAGCACTCACTCGCTCGACCATGTTTGCCATCTGGTCTGCCTCTCAGGATTCCTACGAGAGCGAATGGGACTATGTTCGTCTCATGGGGGAGATCATCACGGTGCTGGGAGCCATCGCCATCTTCATTACAGAGGTTGGTATCTCCATCATGGAGGTTGGTTTAACAATCACTGCTTCTTCCACCTTGTCGCTGTCGTTGCTTACACAAGCACGGCCGCTCCACCTCTTCCCCTCCACTCTGCAACGTACCGCATCCTCCTGCCTCATGTTATCTTCATCATCATCAGCCATGAATAATCCACTGCTGGATGAAAACCTCCCCAACACGCCACCGCCTCTCATCATCCTGCAAATACGACATCCATCCATCTCCACGGTGGACGTCCTCTTTCAGACGCGTTCCGTCCATGGGCTGCCGCTCCATTATTAGTCTCGGCCATCGGCCACTGCCCCTTTCTAGCAGTAACGACACGTCCTGACCAAGCCCACATACGTTCCGGAGCAGTTTGGATGATGTATTTACCTGCGTACGTTCAAAAATCCACGTGTTCCACTTTCCATCCCAAGGTTTGCATGAAATTCCAGATGTTTAAATCTAGATTAAGAGCTCATTTGTTTAGAACTGCTTTTTGTGTTTAGTTTGTTGTCTTTCCTCTGCACCTCCAAGAGAAAGAGACACACACTGAGGAAAAACTTGAATAAACTATTTTCATTAGTTCCTTCAGTCTGGAGAAAAGATGAACACACGGGTAGATTACATTATTTTTTTTCAATTCCATTTTAACATTGAGTGAGCACACGATAACAGAATTAGACTGCTCCAATTGTACGGTGAAAATCAGCGAAAGTGCGATGTCCACTCTCAACATAAATATTCACGCAAAACGAGATGGCCGAGCAGCTCAAAAGTCAAGAGCGCTGAGGCAGCATCGCCGACATCCTGGTGGGGTTCAAATCCGGGCAGTTTTAGCAGCCTGCGATTCTTAGACCAGGTTCTCAGGTGCCGCGAGATGATGTTCTCAACTCGGTCGTAAATGACCTATGGCCAAAATGATTGTAATGTGTGCAAATCAATGGCAGCTCTGAGCTGTGGGGTGATGAGCATCGCTCACTGTAGTAGGGTGGGCGGGTGAGAGAGTGCTGCCCCTTACTGTGTGCGTCAGAGGTCACGTGACAAATCATTAGCGCATTCAGGACAAAAGTGTGAATTAATTCATTAATAATCTGGCATGAGATGTGGACATATGCTATTTGTGCTCATAAGTTGTCTATCCGCTAAAATATCAAATACCTGTGTATATATGCATATGTAGTGTCAACGATTCAGAGACAGAGTTTATAGGAGGCACCTTCTTTATTAACCACTTCCACGGTCTCGTCCACGCACTCTCCACAGTAGCTTAGCCTAGCCTGCACACAACACTAGCCGTCTAACACTGACGGCACTGACTGAGATAGCCAACTACTATCCTTCGTAGCGCAATAAAAGACGTGAGCGACGACGGCGACGAGACGACAGCAATGACAGCAACGACGAGACAAGTCCACTCCCAGAACCGGCCACCTCGAGCTCCCGCTCTCGGCTCCTTTCATGCTACCAGCGTGGCCTTGCTCCGCCCTGACCACACCTCCCTTCTCGAACCCACTGGCCGGTTACAGGGGCCTCCAGATGGGGTCCTCTATGACCCGTGCCCTAGTTTCTCCACTCTGCTAACACACCATGCACACTCTCACCGGCGTGTGCACTGTCTGTCCACCACAGTTGCCACTGCCGTCCACCAGCTGGCGCTATTACACTACACATCGATGTGCATGAACGTGATGTTTTTGGTACGGGTGTTGCTTTGTATATTCCAGATCCTCTACCTGATGAAAAACGGCCCGAAAAAATACTTTGGGAATACGGTGACAGGAGGGCCCTTCCACGCAATCATGTGAGTGCTTTGGTTTTTGCGTGGTGTAGGCCTGCGCACGAGGGCTCCATCTCCACACAAAACATGCTCGCGGACTTGACGCACAGCAGCTACTCTACATCACGTAACGTCAGTGTGTGTGTGAGCAGCGCCTCTGTCCTGTATCAGTCGTGTATATGATTCCATACTGGTCGACTGATCACACATAAAAGTGGACTTTTTACTCGGGTCTCAAATCTGTCATAGTAACCTTGACATACGTACTTTAGCTGTGCGAGATTCGCTTGAACGAGCCCAATTCACTTCCACCAGATCGATTGTAAACACACATGGAGGTGTGCAGCATTGGCATGTACAAAGGCTCACAGCCTTGTCCAGACCAGCTGCTAAAAAAAACTGAATGCATGGCCACGTTGCCTTTGAGTCCACCAACTCAAACAGAAAATGTAGCCATCCCAACCTTAAACTTACCATCAAGTTTTGATTTAAAGCTTTCGTGACTGCAGGGATTCATATTCTTGGTTCTTTTGGTAAAGTCACGTAGAAGGGAAATAATAAAATAATAATAATAATTTAACAATAAAATTCTCACAAACCACAGCAAGAAAGCTGTGGTTTTCACACCTGATGATGATCGCTTGTGTTGCAATGGAAACGTCGCGATCATTTTGTTTTATTTTTATTATTTTATTATTTCTCTTCTACGTGACTTTACCGAAAAAACCAAGAATAGGAATTGCCATAAAGTGTTTAAAACGGAATTTGTCCAAACCGACTTTCGTTTGCAGCTGATTAATTTAAACGATTATACAGCATGCTGATGGAATATTTCTCATTTAATCTGCAATGCGGTTGTCTTTGCTGGGATTTATGTTTGGTTCTCTTTGCTCAGGCTTGGACCGGCTCAAAATTGACTCCAGCTTCTGCTGTGATGAGGGTTTTTAACGTCACTGACAGTTTTGAATTCTTTGTCATCTGATTCGTTGGTGTAAAATCCATTTTGTCCCTCTCGACAGCGGCACTCTCCGTGAAAGCAATGTGATCAGCTGCTGCAGAACGTTCTGAATTGGCCCCGGCTATTTACAGACACACACAGGGCCCCCGCCACCTGTGATAGTAAATCTACTTGCCGACATCAGGAAGCCACTGGGACCTATGCATTTTTAAATCATCTCGATTGAAAACGCATTTCTTTGAAAGCTGCTGTTTTTGTGTTAAGTCTGCTGTCCTTCCCCCGCACCTCCGATTAGCGCGATTGGCTACGCACGGTGCGAAAGAAGTTCAACGTGCATACATACGTACAGCCCGCACTGACCAGCGTGGTGAAGTATGGCCAACCCCCCACCATGACAGACGCCCCCAAGCCTCGGTCCAACATACGCCACGTCCTCGATCTCGTCCCTTATGCTGCACGTTCGGCGAGGCCCTGTATCCTTGTGGCTTAGGACTGTGATGTTGGGTAAAGTAGTCTGTGGCACAAAGAAACTACTTTAATTTCCAGGAAATTCCCGTAAATATCTCTCCCAGCGTTTCTAGCAAATTAAAGATGTCTAACTTCATCACTCTTTCATCATCACCTTCCATGAGCAGATAGCCCCGTAGTGTGTCCACTGCACATTTCGTCATTTGTTTCCACTTTCTTCTCTGTCTCGTAGTGCCAATATGCTCAAGTAGAAGTACCACATCTTTCCGGCATCAATCTCTTACGTCGTCATGTGCATTTGATTACGTTAATCTTATTTTATTCACGGCCGAAGTATAAGCACCATTTTGCCCAAACCCTCCTCCTTTATATCCAGGCCTGGGAACTTGCTCAGATATCCACCAGATCGCGGACCCCCGTGGCAGAGTTAATCACCCTGTAGCTGGCACACATGCGCAAATGTGTCAGCGTCATCGTTGTCTGTGAACAAAACATTCCGTAGTGGTGCTGTTTGTTTGCTGGCTGCTTGGCACTTTGAGTCTTTAGCCCTGTGCTTAGTAAATCGTGACAAGAAACACTGCAGGATAAAGGTCTCTGCCAGCTGTTCGCTGCACCATCCCACGATGGAGCAACGCGCCTGGCTCCTGCACGCAAGCTAATTTAGGGTGCTGTGGTAGCGAGATGTTAACTGCCTCGCCTGGTATGCAGGAGGTCGTGGGTTTGATCCCGACCCTGACGCCTCCTGTATATTTGTAGTTTGTGTGTCTCTCCCCATGGTCATGTGGATTTTTCTCCGGGTCCTACAATTTCACATTCAGGTGGTCAAGCCAAACAACCGCATCAGGAGCAGTGGAGTGTATTATCGCCGTGATGTCTCCTTCATATTTTGTGGATTGGGGAATTGCGTCGTTATACGTTGTACGGTCTGTTCTGGATGACCGCAGTCACACACTGCTACTGGAGAGTTTCTACTCCTCGCTGTGAGCAGGATGTGCTACAGTGTCCTGGTGCTGGTGATCGTGGTGCTGCGGGTGCTAACCAACGACGTGGAGGTGATCTTCATGTCGATTGCGCTCATTCTGGGCTGGTGCAACATCATGTACTTTGCCCGCGGCTTCTCCATGCTGGGCCCCTTCACCATCATGATCCAGAAGGTCGGTGGAACGTTGCTTCCCATTCACTCGGTCACCAAACAGGAGGCGAGTGTTGTGTCAGAGGTCCTCTATCATGGGACCTTCTTGTCAGTAACAAAGTATGAAAAAAAAGAATAGATTTTTCCATTTCTGGCAAAAAAACAGGTGTTAAGATTTTGAAACACCAAATAAGATACCTTCTGCAAGGCATTAAGTCTGCATTAACCACACGTGCTTGTGGCAAAACCTATTGCCAGAGTGTTCTGATACTTGCTTTACCATTGTACTGTTCACCTTTTGGCGTTCTCTGGTCTAACACTGGTGGTGAGACAAGGCCAAAAAGAAGGTGTAGGCCAATCAGTTTCAAAGACAATGCATATATTATCAGAGCATGTTTGTTTGCATGTTCACCACAAGTACGTGTGGTTAATGCAGACTTGATTCCTTAATTGTTGTTTGAACATCTTAAACCCTCCTGTTTTATTGTTTGAAAGGGTAAAACCTATTCCAGTGCAGCAATGGCTTTTGTTTCACAAGTCCCCACTGTCCACCACTCAGCCCTGTGGCAGAGGCGTAGCTAGGATATTTTGCACCCGGGGACGAACTATAAAATTGGCGCCCCCCCCCCCCCGTTTAATCACATTTTCCTAATACATCGAATAAGGAATAACAATAACAATTTTAATGAAACATTGTGTTTAAAGAAGCAAATTTATAGAAATTATATTGCATGGCTCACTCAGTCACTGTCGTAGACTGGTTGACATAGTCTACAAAAGAGTATTTTTTCTTGATTTCATTGTCGCAAACTGGTCAATCACGTAATCAAAATCTGTTTTTCTCAATGTTTCTCTTTCAACGCTAAGAAGAGCAAAATCGCTGAGACGATCTTGTCCTATTGAAGCACGCGAATACGATCAAATAAGTTTCAATTCGCTGAACGACCGCTCACAGATTGCAATTGAAACTGCTATTGTTAATACAATTTGCATTGAAATTCGCAAATTCGGAAATATGTCGTCTCCATAAAACACAATAAAACCAAGATGATCCAAAGGAGTTTCTGGTAGAACTTAATTCCGGTTACTGAGCAGCATTTTGCAATCTCCAATTTCTGTGAAAAGTTCGTGGCCATTGATGTCGGTGTCATAGAAATTTGCATCGACATCTGTGTCGGATAGAAGAGTTTTGACGTCCAGCAGAAATCCCAATTTTGTGTTCAGGTCTTTTAGTCGTAAAAACCGTGTTGATAAAATACGCTCTTCATAACGCGCACAATTTATTCTTCTCCTGAAAGTCCTGCAACTCTTGCCAGTTCTCCTGGCATCTTCCGACGTCGCCTAATTATTCTGTCCACATCGATCCCCCAGGCTGTGCATCTTGTTTTGGCGTTTTCTACAGCAACTTGGCTCAAATCATCACGAAGCTTGACAAATTCATGCTCCAAAGATTCAAGATCAGTTGCTACTTCCTTGAAATTCATAGTAGGATCCTATAAGCACTTCTGAACACGATCAATTTTTCCAAGAATGACATTCCAGAAATGTAATAAACTATGAAGTTAAAATTTTATACGCATGCAAGGAATCTGTTCTGCATCACTTCTAGTTTCAGGCGTCATAGTTACGTCCTCCGATAATTTGTCTAGCAGCCCTACTAGTTCATCCAGTCCTTAATAGATAGCTTTAACAGCTTCTGATCGTGCACTCCAGCGTGTTTCAGACTCCTGCTTTACTGTGATGGGCACAAGCTTTTTCAAACTCTTCCCAACGAATTGTTGAACGAGAGAAAAACAAATATATACTTTCAACTGTTACAAAAAATGTGACAAGTGGATCCTGTTTAGCTGAGTGTACTCCTGCTAAGTTTAAGCTGTGGTTGTCACAGTTGACAAACAATGCTCTGTGATTTTTGTCACATATTCGTTGTTGAAGGCCGGATATATGCCCAGTCATCACAGCAGCATTGTCATAACATTGTGCTGCTAAATGAAGGCCACGCTATGTTGACGTGCGTGGGCTGCTCCGACTGCTGCAGCCGCCTGGAGCGTGGAGTCACTAATAAGAACTAAAAATAGGCCGTCGTAGTTTCCGCCACCAAAAAACAAGCCAGTGACTAAGGCTGAAAGACTGCGCCTGTCTGTTGTTTGGGACGTTCTTCCATGTAAATTCTTAATAGGCGCGCGTACAAAAATGTAATACCATGACATGTAGGCTGTGTGTGGCGGGATATTAAAACTTTTAGGTTGAGGTGTAGATTTGTGCAGTAGTTTCAGGCTGCCGCGCCTGCTGCAATAAGTTATAATGTAACGTTGTCAGCCTCATTTTGGTGCCCCTTTACCTTGGCGCCCGGAGACATATGTACCCCCCTTCCCCCTAGCTACGCCTCTGCCCTGTGGTCTCTAGCGTATGGCGCTTGCTACGCGCGGTGGGGCGCCCATCCAAGCACTTGCCAGGCTCGATACCTGCTTAGTTTGTGAGGTCTGGCATGATACGGTACATTCTAGGTAGCTTTCGCATCGGCAGAGGGGAACATTGCCTTGTCCCAAAGACCACACTCTTCTAGTCTAGTTGCTATGTTAATTTGGTTCCCACAAAAACAAAACAAAGATCCCCTGTATAGCCTTAACAGAATGTTGGGGCAAGTACTGTTAGTGAGTAGCACTTATGAAGGCTAGCACGGCACACGAGGGGGTGGGTGGTCAACACCACGCCGGGGCGCCTTTGTCTCCCTAGGTGGCAATGTTTACACTCTGTATCAAGTCATAATTTGAGACTGAGTCGACCTAGAGGAGGCCCAGGACAAGTTCACATATTCGTTACTTGTGTTGGCCATGAGCGGGAATCGAACTCGGGTTGCCGGGTTTGTAACACAGCGGGCCAACCGCTTCACTCCCCTACACATTAGCACAGACACGACTCTGATAAGCTATTACCAGGAGAGTTGACCCCCCTCCATATAGGCATTGCATCCTTTACCCCTCCTCGCACCTCCCTGTATTGAGGCGAGCTTCACTCAGGGGAAGGACACTCATTGTCTTGTGCTGCTCCCCACCCCCCACCGTGTTCTGGAACTCCCCCCAGCCACCCATGCTGTCGGCCAGGGCCGGATCATTGTCCCGTGAGGCCCCTGGGCACATGTCTTTTGGAGGCCCCCCCCTTTCCAATATTGGTGTCTTTCTTGCCTTCCTCCTCGCAAAATCATCAACTAGATCGTCAAAATCTAGCTGTCTGACAAGGTCTGATTTTTGACAAAAATGACAATGAACTGAGACGTGTTTGGCAACATGCTACTCCCCAGATAATTTTTTTATTCTGCCTAAACGGGAAAATGTTCGCTCACCATGACTGTTTGTCACTGGCAAAGTTAGAAAAATCCGAAGTGCCACAAAAACATTGGGGAACACTGACTGCAGATTAAGTGCCTGAAAAATCTCAAGCAATTTAGTTGGGCACCCTCAGAGTCAGACATAAAAGACTTGAATTGGATGAGTTCGTTGGCAAAGTTCATGTCCCGGTCTGATGGATATGCAGCGGAGAGTGCATTTACCTTTTCCACTATGACATCATTTTAACACGTAGGCTTTCGTGACCAGTATTATTAATATTACAATTTTTTAGTTAGATCGCGTTATTTATAAATGTGTCGCAACCCTCCACCACCCGACACGGCCAATCAGTAAAAAATGTGTCACGTTGACAAAAGACAAATAGTTCACTTGCGCACTGGCGTTCAACTTCCTTTGGAAGTCTTGGGCCACGCACCGCATGCGGCCTGAGGCTTGGAGGCCCCCTGGTAGTCCGAGGCCCCAGATGCACTGGTCCCACTGGCCCAGTCCATAATCCAACCTTGCTGTCGGCAGCCTGTCCCTGTCAAGTCCAGGCTCGAGACATTCGCCATCTCCTCCTCGGCCTGTGATTGACAGCCTCTCTGTCTATAACTACATCTTGTCCTTCCCCCATTCCTCCGACTAGCATAGTTGGCTACGTACTGGTGTGAAATAAGTTCTACATACATTCAGACGCAGCACCTTGAGGTTGCGACCTCACGTAGGCACTACATAAATCCCCACCTTGCTTCATCGTGATGCATGTTTGTTGAACCCCAAACCTTGCTGTGCTTCACCTACGACAGATGCTCTTCGGCGATCTCCTTCGCTTCATCATGTTCCTCATCATCGTCCTGCTGGGATTCTCCGCCGGTAAGTGGCGTGAATTCTGTTGCGGGGCGGCGTTTGTTCGAGTACCCGGTACCTCTGCCGGACGGCATCGGTTTCCTTCCTGTGCACAAGGCTCTCGTGCGTCGTGTTCCACCCGCCGCTTGAACACCAAAACCAAAGGTTGCACGCGGATATGGGAACGTGGCTCGCACGTGGACACACGTGCAGGTGTTCATCACTCCAGTGCTGGATGAGCGGCCTCCCCATGCCGTGCGGCTCCGAGGAGTTATTTGAGCGTACTTCACCACGGGTTGTATGTATGTACCGTATGTTGAGTTTATTTCGCACCGTACGTTGCCAACTGCGCTAATCGTAGGTACGGGGCAAGGACAACAAACTAAATACGAAATGAATTTTCAATCTAGATTAAAAAGTGCATAGCTCCAGTGGCTTCCCAATATTGGAAGGAAGAGCGTTCCAGACGGCCACAGAAGCGCAATAGAATACACGCGATGCGGTGACCGTTTTTGTTCGATGGCCAGCCATAAGCCAGTGTAGTTTGGTGGGGAGTGTAGGCATTGTAGCATAGGGACAGTGCGATGTATTTGTTTTCTGCCCTTAGTGTAGGACCACAGCCCGTGACGCGTGTTGTATGTGGTGGTCACTCATCCAAGCACTGTCGAGACTCAACCATGCTTAGCTCCGGTATAATACTGGGCCATTTCAAACGTTGGTTCAAAAATATAAACAAAGCTCTTACCGAGGGCTTGTTTTACTCGGCACACAGAAATGTGTCCTGTATAAGATATCAAGCGTGACTGCATGCAAGCCCTGTTGCGAATATTGCGCATAATGTCCGTAACACCTAGAGGAGTTTGCACCGGTCATAATAGAGCTTTACGTAACGCGCGGCCATGCGGCTCAGCGGCAGAGCGAGAGGCTCGCAATCGCAATCGAAAGGTTGCGATTTCAAATCCTGGTTGGGGGTAAGCTCAACCTATCCTCCTTCTGGGGGTCGATAAAATGAGGACCACTTTGTGGCGAAGTTGGCAGCGGGTGTTCTATGGATACCCCCCCCCCCCACCCTCCGTGCGGAGGGTGGGGGTTAGATCGCGTAAATATTGTAATTGTTGTGGGTTTACTTTCCAACTCTCCAATGTGCTGAACTAGTAACTAATTAGCATGTTTTGTTTACGTGACAAACCTTGCTAATTGGCTGTGTCGAGTGGTGGTGGGTTTAACGACACATTTATATTTACAAGATGCAACACAAAAAACCTCTATTATGGATAATATTGGTCGCGAAAGCCTACTCCTACTATGTGTTAAACGGATCTTCCACCGCTGGCTCAAGGAGATAAGCGCCGGCTCCGATGCCCGGCCGAGTCGAAAGCCCCCCTTTGGATGGCGGCGTTCGTGGCTGGCGCGCCTCTCTTCCCTCCCGCTTGTCGCCCCTCGGCAGCAGTTCCATGTGGCCTTTGACTCCCTCGACTCAAACATCTTCATCTACTTTCGCAACTACCCGACGACGCTCTTCACGCTCAGCCAGCTCATGATGGGCCTCAAGGACCTGCCCATCCCCAACAACATGAACCTCCCCGCCATCATCATCGTGCTCTACCTGGCCTACATGGTGTTCGCGTACCTGCTGCTGCTCAACCTGCTCATCGCCATGATGGGCGACACGCACTTCCGCGTCGCCAACGAGCGCGTGGAGCTGTGGAAGGCACAGGTCACTCGCACATTCATCCGCGGCGGGCTCCTGTGGGGGGGGGGGGGGGACTGTTATGAGGAGGCCGTGTCTCGCGGCACGGGGGGGGGGGGGGGGGGAGGATGTAGAACAGTTTGTCTTGCCCCCAACCAACAGAGAGCACGTCCTGGGTCACACAGCAACATAGTCACACAATCACAGAGGCGCCTTAAGCCACCACGAAACTCATGAAGGTGCCTGCAGCAGCAGCAGTCATGGTGTGCTTGCCAAAGCACGCGAGAGTTTACCTGCTCAACCGCGCAGCCCTTAAGAGTCGTCCGATGTCGCCGGCTGTAGCGGAGGAGTGGGGGGAGAGAGGGCCCTGGCAGTGGCTCAAGTGAGCGAATGAGCGAACGTGAGGAACGCAGTGCCGCCAGGTCGCAGACGTTAACATCTGGTATCTGATAGAATGCTCACAGTGAGAGATGAATGTCGTTTTTAAGGACCACTTAAACGTGGTGTAGACCTCGTGTGGCCACGGGCCCACGGGCTGTAGGTTGCCCTCCTCTGGTCTACTACGCTGCTGGTGGTTTGCCGAGTGAAGGTTTCCAGAATCGTAAAGTGTTGCCAGCTCGTAACACACATGCAATCTCATCACAGGGAATCATAACTTACCTGATTAAAGGCACCACTACCGAGTGCACGCGGGCCTGTGCCCACACTCGTTCATCAATCTGAGTCGGCGTTGATCGATGCGAGACGAACGAATCCTCTGTTGTGACTTAGATCGCTGCCACGACGGTGCTGCTGGAGTCTCGGGTGCCACGGTGGCTGTGGATGCGATCGGGGATACCAGGCCGGGAGCTGGGTCTGGACGGGGATCGGTGGTACATCCGGTGAGATCCCTCTCCTTAAGGGAGTGTGAAGAAATTAAAAACACACAGGAAGGCAGCTAAATTAATTGTTAAGTATGACTACAAATGTGAATCATTACCCTAAGATTCAGCAACCATTGTTAGCTATCGGTACTCCTGACCTGCGATGTCGGTGTTGCTGTGATCTATGTGGGCTGCCTCCCGATAATGTTGTCTTGCCCTTTTTAGTATTATCGTTGTTAAAAAATAATAAAATAACTAATTGCTGACGAAGGCTTCACCATGCTGTGTGGGCTGTGGGGTATGCTTTGGCCCACACATCACCACCCTCGTCATTGCAGATCGGTGAAGCCCCAGTTAAGGGGCCAAGACCGGTTCAGATATCACTCACCACCGACGTTAGCTGTGGCCAGGAATCGAACTTGTGTCAGCGAGTTCATGGCGCAGGGAAGTTTATTTCGGCGTCTAGGAGATGTTAACTACTTCGCCTGGTATACAGGAGGTCGTGGGTTCGATCCCGACCCTGACGCTTGCTGTATATTTTAAGGTTGCATTTCTCTCTCTCTCTTTCTCTCCCCGTGGTCTCGTGAAGTTGTCTCTGAGTCTTCCGGTTTTTCCCTCCACATTTAGAATCAACATGCGTTGGGAATATTTGGCTGCTATAAATATCCACGCGATAACCCACATCGTTGAGCAAGCATTTGTGATTGCCAGGTCGCTTCTGAAACAGAAAATAGTTTAATAGTTAAATAGTTCTGCCTCCCTCCACAGAAGTTTCACAATTTTGGCTGTATGTATGTTGTATGTTATTTAACTTCTTCCGCAGCGTACGTAGCCAACCGTGCTTAATCCGAGGTGTGGGGTGGATGGACAAACAAACGAAAACACAAATGACCCCCACGCCCTTTGAGCCGACGTGGCACAGACAGTCGTAGTAGTTTATTTTGAATTACCCTGCGAGCCAAGAAGCCCTTAAACCGGTTTCATCAACAAAGAACAACACTGCCACTTTTCTGACAAATGCAACAAGGTCACAGTAAAAATACATCAATAATAAATAATAGCAGATAAGGGAAATAAAAAATAGATAGCAAATCATGAACACAATATAAAAATGATCGTCTTTAAAAAATATATATTAAATATTGGTTGTTATCAAATAGCACACTTATCTATAAAAAAATACTAATTTAAATCGGCCATATTAATTGTAATGCTGATACGACCTAATCTAGGAATAAAAAGCGCAGCATCCATCTAACAAACGTAGTGCAAGCAACGCACATACAGTGGTAGCTTACAAGCAATTAATATTTGTATGTTGTCTAACGCTTTGTATATTTGCGGCTAGGACGGAATTCACTTAAAATTAGTGATTTGAAGTGAGCGACGGGCAGCAGTCACTGCAGACCAAGTTTTGTGGCAATGTTCCGCAGTCCAGGGGGCAGCCACCGAAAACGCTCGTTCACCAAAACTTGATTTATATCAGGGAACGTTCAACAGAAGTAATGTTGAACTCCGAAGGTTAAGAGGTCTGCCCTCCCGTCGTGCCAACTGATCCAACAAATATTCTGCCGAATTACCGCTAAGGATATTGTTGATAAACAAAGCCTGGTGAATCGGTCTGCCATCGTGGAGTGATGTTAATTTAGTTTTTTCGCACAAGTCGCAATGATGGATATTGTAAGCGGCATCCTGAGCAAATCTTAGAGTGGAATGATAAGTGGGAATGAGCGTGGTATTGAAGGCAGATTGGTACACATCACAGTAACCAAATAATGGTAGTAAGGTAGGCCTTACCAACTCTAACCGAAACTTAGCTGGTAAGCAACGTTTATGTCTGTAAAGAAAGCTAGTTTTAAAATTTTAATTCCTCCCAGTGTGTTCAATGTGTTCCTGGAAAGTAAGTTTAGTGTCTATCGATTTGTTTGTTGTCCAGCGTGCATAGCTTCGGGGAAAAATGCTGGTTTTATTTTTCCTAGAGAGAAATAAATAACTTTTGATTTATTGATATTCAGAACCAGCTTTAGTGCGATTTGTTGATGATTAATTGTATTAAACGCGCTTTTAAATTTCCTGTACACATCTTCAGGGGAGTGGGCAGCAACCATCAAATGGTGTCATCCGCAAAGGCGTTAATAGTAGAATGTTCCAATTGTGTACCCAAGTCGTTCAGAGAAATGGAGAACAAGATAGGTCTAAGAATGGAACCTTGAGGTAGACCCTTAGTGATTCCCATTGTGTTTGACACCAGGTTACCAGTGGATGCTATCTGATTTTTTGAAGTGAGGCGCTTGGTGAATCGCGCACGCTTCTAAGTCTATTTAGTAAGATGCTGTGGTCTGTGTTGTCAGATGCTTTAGATCAATCCAGGAGTGGACAGGCACGGTATTGTTTGCTCTCTAGATTATTGAAAACAAAGTCTAAGGAGACTGTTGAGCGGTAGTTGTGCTGGGTTTTTTGCAGAAGTCTGATTGTTTGGGATGCAACAGCTTATTTTCTGAAATGTATGTACTTATTTGGGTATTTAATGATTTTTCAAATAGTTTAATCGGTGGTGATATCGGCTGAGGGGGCGAACCAAAGCAGTTTTTCATTGAACTGGTATGGTGGCTTCTTGACAGGCGAATTAAATATATGGGTTAAGGGCCTGAACATCATATCACCCACTGCGATGTGGTGCAATGGGAACGATCGCTCGATGTCGCGACGTGCGGACTGACGGCCAGGTGATCTCTCCGTTGCAGGATTGAGGAGAGGAACGAAATGTCGCCCAAGAGGCATTTCGCGCGGAACGACGACGGGAGAGACGAGTGTCCGGCCAAGCGCAGGATGTCGTCGACGACCAAGAACTGGAACATCGTGCACAAGAACTTCGCCAACAAGTTCAGCCAGCTTCACAAAATGCAAAACCAGCCGGCTGTGGCCAAGTACAGTGGGAGCATGGACTAGATCGGCCGGGATGCAGGTCCCCAGCAGCCGCACCCCCCCTTCCCCCCGTTGGGTATCACTCCACGTGCTGTATTGCCACCGCTCAGTGGCGCAGCTCAAGAAAGTAGTTCATCATCAATCGCTCAGAAACTGAGTTATAACGACGGTGTGCGTTCCCCGCTATAACGACGGTGTACGTTCCCCGTTATTACAATGGTGTACGTTCCCCGTTATTACAATGGTGTGTGTTCCCCATTATAACGACGGATATGTTCCACATTATAACGACAGGCACATTCCCCGTTATAACGACAGGTGCGTCCTCCATTATAACAACGGTGTGCAGTTCTCCATTTCACGATGAAAGGAACCGCGTCATCGCGAAAACGCATGATAGTATGAACACCGCCACGCATAACGCGAGGACTTACTGCAGTTTCCCTGGGTTACACGTCTGGCTTGGTAGGGGGACAGGCGGCAGCATTTCGCTTCAAACACTGCGTCTCGGGCGCTAACGTATCGCTCGTTACCTCTCGGCTGCGCTTCACTTTCCACCCGTTTGCAATCCTGTTTTGTGTTAAGTAACATTTTTTTTTTACCATTTTGCATTAAGTTGCATATTATAAAAATGTTTAGTCCATCATCACACCATAGACGATTTATTATGACTCTGTTGGAAGTCTACAGTGGTTGTTCTCTGGATAGACCGGTCTCCAACCACGGGAATGTGGAATTCCCACCAGTGATTCAGAGCCACAAATGGAGACGAATGCCACCCCAATGCTCCTTGAAGAGTGAAACTACTTTTGACTTTGTCACAAAACTTATCTTGGTGCCTCCAAAGGAATTCCAAGTTACAGCCCTTTGTGAATCCACTGCTGGTAGGCCGAACTTCCAATGCAGTGTCTGTCATGGGGGTTTTTGACCATACTTCACCATGCCGGTCAGTGCTGGTTGGTAAATTGGTGGGGGTGGGGGCGTTAAAAGACCAGATCAGTTATCACTCGCCGTGGAGGTCAGTCGTGACCTGGAGTAGAACTTGGATTTCCTGGGTTCGTAGTGCAGTGAACTGCTCCCCGCTGCATGGTTCTGATATTATTTAAACCAGATCCCAAGTTAAACTTGTAATACCTTTATATGAAAAATGCTTGCAATTTTTTGTTGTTGAGAGACACTTTAAATATGTGGTTGTGATAAGCTTACTATTTCTAACTTTTTTTGTAATTTAAGATTTTAATGAAATAATGCAATATTTAAATGCAACATATTCGAAATAAAATCGCAAATTATGAAGTCATACTTTTTCACATAGGAAATCGGATAGCAACATCAAGACAACAGAATTAGAATATTTATTCATACTCGAGGACTCCGATGAGCTCTTTTTTCAGACGTCCAACCTCACTGCTCTTGCGCTTAAGGTACTTACTGAGCAAAACGTTTACTGTCCATCATGGAACTCACACAGGCAGCTGATGAACTCGCCACTGATGTTAACAGGAGGCAGAATTCAGACTCGAGTTTCTGGGTTCATCGCACGGCGCCCTAAACCACCACTGACTGCTGCACCCCAGCAAGGCTAATACAATTCAAAAACACAACGTACGGTCCTCAAGGAATCGTCTCGTTGTTGCGTATTCCGCTGCGCTGGGTTCCCAACGATTAACCAGGGCGGCAGACACAGGGTGTCGTAGTGGTGAACACTCATCGCCTCAGAGCGACAAGCACATGGGTTCGAGTCTCAACTCGGGCGCCTCTCTGCGTGGCGTTTCTGTCTCTCCCCCTGCTCTGCGTGGGTTTCCTCTGCTGAGTTTTCCAGTTTCCTCCCATAGCAAAAAAATAGAAAAAAGTACACACAATTTGTCACCGGTATTGGCCAAATATTCTAAGGCTGAAATATTACCGGAAAATGGCTCGATTGGAGTTACAGCAACGTCGCTGGCCTGCTGCGGAACCTTGGCAGGACCCTGACAGATGCAAGAGCCTTGAGACTCGGCAAGAGTTTCCTGGGAAAACAAGCGGAGTGGTCCCTCAGGTTACGATGCCATTGATTAACGATGTTTTGATTATTGATCTGCCTCCCATAGGGTGCCCCCATTGTTTCTATTAACGATACATTTTCGATTAACGATATGTTTACGATATCACGCGGTTCCTTCCAGTTTCGGCCAATCGGAACGCTCCTAAGTGGAATAGGCAGCAGACCTCAGCCAATCAGCGACCTGCCCTTTTATGAGCGTTTTGATAGCAACTGGCTGCTAGCTTTTCAATATTTTACGTGCGTTGCTTATGGAAACAGCTCTCTTAAATACTGAGTGTTTTTTTACTGAAATGACAAGGAAGTGAAGAAAACAATTAGTGTGCAAATTAAGCAGGAAATTATTGAAAATCACGAAAATGCTCTCGATTCACGATAATTTCACTTAAGGATGATTTTCGTGGAACCAATATCGTTAACTGAGTCACCCCACTGTACTCAGAAAAATACTCAATTAAATAAGCAATAGCTCTGGATCACGTGCTGTCGTGACGACTGGAAATGCTACGATTGCCACTTTTGTTAACTCTTTGCATGCATGAAAATGAATGTTACACGTGGTTTCTACACAATAAACAATAGACATGTTGGGAAGAAACGTTTACCCAAACGAGGCTTTTTACCTTTGTGGTTGTGTATGTGCGTGATAGCGGTCGCGTAGCAGGGAGTGCGCTGCACTACGAACCGAGCGAACCCAGTTCGATTCCCGATCACGGCCAAAAACAGTGACGATTATCTGAACAGGCTTCCCCTAGGTCGACTCAGCCACAAATGAGGTGTGTAAAACATTGCCACTAGGTAGATAAAGGTGGCCGGGCGTGGCGTTGGCCACCCACCCCCTCGTGTGCCGTACCGGCCTTGATAGGTGCTACTCGCGACCAGCACTTGCTGTCCAGCTACAGCAGTAGCATGGCGCACGGACAAACTCGCGTGGACGTCTTCTTGCCGCACGGCAGGCGGACCGTCGCCACCGGCTTATGGCTGCAATCCCCGTCGGCAGCGTTCCCCGAAACGTTTCCCTTTGCAGGCGGCGTGCAACCTGAAGGAGTCTTTGCGACTTCATTGCTTGCAGCTCTCGCCGAGCAGCACGCGAGGACTACCGTGCTGCTTCTTCTGCTGCTGCTGCTGCGATGGCATTTACCATCAGCCTGGGGTCACCAGGCTCGGTTGATGTTCATGGCTGCTCTACAAATTTCCACGGTCAAATCTCAGCACTGAACGCCATCCCCAGCTCCCGTAGCAGACCACATTTCACTCGCGCCTGGTTCATGTCGAGTCACTTAACCGAGCCCGCAGAGGCAATTGTGATTGGTCGCAGATAATATTTATTCACCGCAAAGCACAAACCACCATCGTCGCATGCACTGCTGCTGTCACCACAGTCGTATGTTTATACGGCATCTGGCACATGGTGATGTGGCCAGCAGTGGGTAAAAACTAAAAACTATGTAAACATTTTTACTTTAGCAGGTAAGGCCCACTGAGCTATGTAGCTCTTTTTCAGAAGCGACCTGGCCACAAATGATAGCTCAACGAAGTGGCTTATCACATCGAAATGTATTACAGCCAAATACTCTAAACGCACGTTTCTAAATTTTGAGGAAAAAACCGGAGAACCCAGGGAAAAATCCACGCGACCACGGGAGGAGAGACTTGCAAACTCCAAATCTACAGCAGGCGTCAGGGTCAGGAGCGAACACACGCCCTCCTGTATACCAGGCGAGGTAGTTAACATCTCGCCACCGTGGCGCCCCGTGGATAGGCCACGGAGTTTAACACGTAGGCCTTCGCGACCAATATCATCCATAATAGAGGTTTTTGGGTTAGATCGCGTAAATATATAAATGTGTCGTTAAAACCCGCCACCACCCGACACAGCCAACTAGTAAGGATTGTCACGTAAACATAACATGCCAATTCGTCACTAGTACAGCACGCCGGTGTGTTGGAGAGCCAAGCCACACCATTTACAAACTGAGTACGACGTTTCGCCAGTAATTACAACTAGCTTCATCAGGCGACAGCCAGATTTACGGTGGAGTCTTACTGTTTCGTTCCTTATATAGAGGCATAGATGTGTTGACCACCCTTCTGCGCTCTTGCGCAATGGGGTGGGGGGGGTTGGATTATTGAGGCAACGTATATTACACTATGTATGTGCATTATGCAAGCCCTTTGAACTTGTCCTTCCTGTCTATTGTGTTTATTAAAATAGCCCCACCAACGGTAATCCCTATTGAAGTACGCTGCCCTTTGTAGGCATGCATTTAAATAATGTATCATTTGATGATTCGCTTCCATGCAGCACTAAGACGGTAGCTATCCGAACGGTTAAAGTTATTTTGATCACTTTAAATTTCGATAGATTCTCTAATTAGTCTTGACCAGTCGTAGCTAGTTTTGCACAAAACTTCAACATTATCAAAATCAATTGAGTGTCCTTGTTGGCGCGCGTGTTCTGCTACTGCTGACAGTAGCATTTGGAATAATTTAATATTTCTCTGATGTTCTTTTAGTCTCGTGCTGATCATTCGTCCTGTTTGCCCAACATAACATTTACCATACGTGCAGTTAATCCTGTACACACCTTCTGTTTATAGCTTCAGTAATACAGCTTTTGTACCAGATATTAGATTCTGTATTTTATGTACCGTGCCAAATCTGACTCGGATGTTTGGTTTTTCCAAACATTTGGCTAGTTTATCAGTTTCTCCCACAATGTACGGTATTTTGATCGTTTTAATTATTTGGGCAGTCATCAATTCCTAAGGAAGAGCAATACCTGATCAAACCAATAGCATCAAAACCACCAAGACTTTATGGGCTACCAAAAATTCACAAACCTGATGTCCCATTAAGACCCACAGTTAGTACAATAGGCTTGTGGTGCCATAACCACAGAGCAACTCCGCAAATGCCACACACTAAACACACACCCACACACAGCGCACCCACGTAGTGTCCTGATGGGGGGTTGCCTGGCACATCGGGTTTTAATCCGAAGGGCCCCTAGAGGGAGAGTCTCACGGTTTCCCGGTGCCAGGAGATTGGTCGACCCTCACAGGACAGGTTACATTGCAGTGCCCCTAAATTGGCTTAAGATTGTATGGGCACAGAATGAAAAGGTTCACTGGGCCAACTGCAATGAATTACTCATGATACTGGGAGAGGCGGAGGGTGGAATATTAGGCCAGAAGGGCAGACCAGTGGGTTATAATTAATGAGCACGGGAGGACAATGGGTGAGGGGCCGCAGCAGCAGCAGACCTCGTAGCCCTCCATGTAAACGGCGCAGGAGAGCGCGCGATTGGCTACGCAGTACAATGCCACCCTGGGCCTTTGAAGTGAGGGGATTAGGCCACGGTAGAGACAGTGGAGAGGGACGACGACGGGAAGCACGGGTAAGCACCCGATTGGCTGCGCGGTATGATGTCACCCTGGGCCTTTGAAGTTTAGAGAATAAAGATTGGTGCCCTGGGACGGTGAGTCCAATTGTCTTCAACCTCCGGGCGATCCAGACCCATTCCCTGCCGTCCTGCCTCCTCGAGCCGCTCGCAGCATCCGTGTGATGCCAACGAGTGCTGCTACGAGGCAGTGATAAGCGAGGGTTTCACTCGTCCTTCTCCCTCCGACTCTTACAGCGTCCGTGCGACGCCATGAGTACAGCTACGAGGTACGTAGAAGAACGTTTGTGTAACTGGGGTCATAGGCAGAGTTAGGCTAGGCTCTCATCGTGAAATATTCTCCCTCCAGGTAGCGGGTATTTTCGCCGTTAAAAAACTTTAGTTCAGAAAATCTGTGTAGTGTGATTACTGTTTGTGTGGGTAGAGCCTCGGCGTGGTGTCTGTGATTTTTGTGTGGAGCGACGGTGTAGGGAGACGGTGTGCGTGAGAGAGCGAGCGCGGGGCTGCAGAGTGTCGGCGTTGGTGTGTGAGGCGCGCGTATATTACGATATATACGGCCGCCGGTGGATGCGCAGGTTTATACGCACGTGTGTGTGGAAAATTTACTCACGCGTCTGCAGCGCCGCGTGAGTAATTGGGGAGGGGGGCGGGGTGCGATACACCCGCTCGCTGGCACTCGAGCACGTTTACACAGCGTGTTTACATAGTAAAGATAGCCTTAACGGCACACAGAGTCCTACCGCCGCCGTCCCTTTTTTTAGCATTAGCATTGGTATGCAAGCGGATTAGGACTTAGCCACGGGGAGGGGCTAAGCCCTATACATACTGCTATTTTTAGCGCTAGCCTTTGTGTGCAACGAGCGCCTGCAGGGGCGCGCGCGTGCACGCAGCCACCTCTGTATTAGTGGTGGGGTACGTGTGCGTGGGGGAGATAACCCCGGGCGGTGGTGAGCCAGCCGGGTAGCGATGTCCCTCAGAGAGGGCGCTGGCGCGAGGGGGGCCTATCGCCCGTTCGGCGGGGGCGCGGCGAGAGGCGGCCGAAGAGGAGGAGGGGGGAGTGGAGGGGGTGGACGTCGCGCCCCGCCCGCTCACAGAGAGCGGGGAGGTGGACATCGGCCCCCACAGGCTCTGCCACGTACAAATTTGCACAATACGTAACGAAACATATACAACCCTACATCGGTAGGATCTCGTTCATCAAAAACTCTGAACATCTCGTAAGTATAATTAAAGATATTAAGCTTAATCCTAATGATATTCTCGTAATTTTTTATATGACCTTTCTGTTCACGAGGGTTCCGGTCAATGAGTCAATTAAATTACTCGACACTGGTAACGTTTAGCCAAAGATATCCCAAGACGAGCTGAACACTCTTTGGTTCTTAGGTAAAGTCGCGTGGAAAGAAAATAAATTAAATAATAGAATACGACGTTTCGATTGCAACACAAGTAGTCGTCATCAGGTAGAACTAAATTTGTGAGAGAGACAAAACACAGACACGGAGATACACACAGACACACAAGCAGAGAGAGACAACACAGAGACACGCAGAGAGACACACAACATAGACACACAGAGCTGAACACTGTCTAAAGAACACCTACTTCTTGTGGCAAGGTGACTTCTATAAACAAAAGGAGAAGAAATGGGCTCTCCTTTGTCTCCTGTGATAGCGCATTTGTACATGAAAGATTTAGAAACAAAAGCAATATCTTCAAGCACGCTAAAACCATCTGCTTGGTTTAGATATGTGGATGACACATTGGTGATCTGGCTATTCAGCAAAGATAAATTGAACGCATTTCTAAATCATCTCAACTTGCAAAACCCATCCATCCAGTTCACCATGGAAGTGGAAGCTGACAGAACTCTGCCATTTCTGGATATTCTGCTCAGACGGGGTAGAAATGGTAAAATACCGTAAGAAAACGCATACTGACGCCTATCTGAATGGAGAATCACACCATCACCCCGCACAGAAATCTGCTCTTATCAAGACGCTCATTCATCGAGCTAAGAAGGTGTTAGATGGTGACAGTCTAAGAAGTGAAATTCAACATGTTAAAGAAGCGCTGCAAATGAACGGTGACAATGATGCACACATCAACGGGGCATTGAATACCAAACCAAATCAAACAACACGAGCATTGAAACTGCCCAGGTAATAAAAATGATCAAATACCGTACATTGTGGGAGTAA